TCCTGGCATCAGCTGCCACATGGGAAGAGACCAGCACCTCCTCTGTGGCAGTGGGCAGATCCTGCCAAGCCTCCTCAAGGGTTATGTGGAGGAGATGGTGCTCTGTGCTGAAGGCACTGAAGCCTCTGAAGGGACATGACTGGCTATGTGTTTCAGGAGAAGCCTGCCTGATGCTCTCTGGGTAATATCCTAGGGGGGGGCGAGGACAGACTAGTGTCATACAGTCCAGTGAGGAGCTTTTGGTTTGGCCTAGGAAAGTACTCATGGTGGAGACTATGTGGGCAGAGAAAGGCAGGTGGCTTACGCTTCCTGGGATCAGGAGGAGACAGCTGGGGCCAATTCCCTGCTCCACCTCTCCCCAGCTGTAGACCTGGGGCACAAACTTCATAGTATCACTGTAAGGAATAAATGAGTGAATAAACCTTTATTACTATTATCATTACTGTTATTCCAAACACGTCCTTCAAGTTGGCTGGGTGTATGGGAGGTGAAAGATAGATCAAAGATGACTGTTTTGTTTCTTGCTTAAGAAAATGGGTACATCATCAGAAATGACTCTAAGAAAAGATGGCCTCTTCCACAAATGGTGCTGGGAAAACTGGATATCCACACGTAGAAGACTGAAACTAGATCCCTGTCCTTTACACTGTATCAAAATCAACTCAAAGAGGATCAAAGACCTTACTGTAAGGCCTGAAACTTCGAAACTACTACAGGAAAGAATAAGGAATACATTGGAACATATAGGCAAAGGCAATAACTTCCTGACTAGAACTCCAATGGCTCAGTAATTACGAGGAAGGATTGACAAATGGGACTACATGAAACTAAAAAGCTTCTGCACAGCTGAGGAAACAGTCACCAGTGACTAAAGGCGCAGCCCACAGAATGGGAGAAAATCTTTCCCAGCTATATATCTGGGGGTTTTTTTCTTTTTTTATTTCTTTATCTGACAAGAGATTAATACTCAGAATTTACAGGCAGCTCAAAAACTAAACTCCCCCAAAAACTCAATGACCCAATGAAGAAATAGGCAAACAAACTGAACAGAAGTTTTTCAAAGACAGAAGTCCAAATGGTGAAAAAACAAGAGAAGAAATGCTCAAAGTCCCTGGCCATACAGGAAATGCAAATCAAAACCACATTAAGATTCCACCCCACTCCTTTTAGAATGGCTATCACCAACAACACAAACAACAACACAACACAACAACAAATGTTGGCAAAGATATGGGGAAAAAGGAATCCTCATACACTGTTGGTGGGAATGTAAATTAGTGCAACCACTGTGGAAAACAGTATGTAGGCTCCTTAACTAAAAATAGAACTGTCATATGATTCAGCAATACCACTCCTAGAGATATACTCGAAGGTTCTAAGTCAGGATACAATAAAGACACTTGCACACTGATGTTTATTGCAGCACTGGTCACAATAACCAAACTATGGAAAAGCCCAGATATCCTACAACTGATGAATGGTTTAATAAAATATGATTTACATATTAAAATACATTGCATCTTTATAGGAAGAAGGCATAAGGAAATGCACTGAAAGCTGTTGAATCATGGGGGTAGGAGGGAAAGGGAAAGGAACAGTAACAGAGGGGGTTACATTGAATAAAGTACAATATATTCACTGGTGAAGTACCAAGGTGAAACCCTTTTGAATGATGAATATACACTTAAAAAATGAAAGACAGGACAGGAATGTAAAACAGGTCCTGTTAGGGGAAAGATATTAGTGGGAGGGGGGAGAGTAAGTCGAGAGGGTGATGGAGGGAGAATAAGGTTGATGTCCTTTACATACATGTATGAAGACAGAGCATTGAAACCTGTTGAAATCATCTTAAGTAAGGGGGAAGGGAGTGAAAGAGAATGATGGTGGGATGAACCTAACCAACGTACATTGTAAGCATATATGGAAATGTTACAATGAAACTCCCCTGTACAACTATTACATGCTAATGAAATATTTTTTTAAAAAGGAATGACTCAATAAGGAGCATGTCAGGACTTGGAATAGTTAAAGAACGACATATCTAAGATCTGTGAGCAGAATGGCTTCAGGCCCTCACATCTCAGTCCTGGCTGGGTCTGGGGCCTGCTCCTCACCCACACTGGCAGGGCAGGGTGGGTCCAGGGTAGGCAGCCAGTAGGGCAAAACTGGTGGACAAAACAATGGGCCAACTCTCTGACAAGTGAGGCTAACAGAGGTGCTGTGTGACCCTGCATAAGTCACTTTACCATTTAGAGCCTGCGCTCAAACACTGAGCTTCAGAGCTGTGTCTGGCCTCTACCTACCCCACAGCCCCAGGCACAGCACAGTCGGATGAAATGCCATTTTCCTCATGAAGACCTTCCTCGTTTCCACACTGGCACTGAGCCCTCCCTGCCACTGAGTCTCCTAACTCATTCTCTCCTCCATTTAATCTTTACCATACTCTGCTTCCTTCTGTTAATTTCCTTAAATAACTAGTCTGTGCTCTTTGCATTCCTGCTGTCTGGAATGGAGTGATGACTGAAGCCATGGCTACCATCTTGAACCCTTGGCTGAAGGCCACACCTTGGAGAGTTGAAAAGACCTGAGGACTTAGCGGGTCAGAAATGCCACACCACTCAAGTAGTAGAGTGCCTGCCTAGCAAGTGCAAAGTCCTGCGTTCAAACCCCAGTACTGACAAAATAAAATAAATGCCACACTAGCCCAATATAAGAGCTACCCACCCACCTCCAAATGGTGACATATATTAATCTTATCTGTAATTTTATTTTTTTAATTTTTTATTGTTGTGCTGGGTGGGGGTACACTGTGGCACTTACAAAAATTCTTAAAATATATCAAATAAACTGAATTCACCCCACCACCACCACGACCATTATCTGTAATTTTAAAAAGAAAATGTGAGTTGGGAGCTGGTGGCTCACTCCTGTAATCCAAGCTACTCAGGAGGCAGAGATCAGGAGGATAGATGTTTGGAGCCAGCTGGGCAAGTAGTTTGAGAGACCCTATCTCAAAAAAACCCATCACAAAAAAAGGGCTGCTGGAATGGCTCAAGGTGTAGGCCCTGAGTTCAAGCTGCAGTACTTAAAAAAAAAAAAGTGAAAAAGCTGTCTCATTCCCCTCCACAAGGGTAGATATTCTCATGCCCTACTGATCCTGTGTTGAACTGTTTTTCTTGATACATTTTACCTACATTTATGACTGAATGTATAGTATGGTTTTGAACATATATTAATCTTATCTGTAATTTTATTTTTTTAACTTTTTATTGTTGTGCTGGGTGGGGGTACACTGTGGCACTTACAAAAATTCTTAAAATATATCAAATAAACTGAATTCACCCCACCACCACCACGACCATTATCTGTAATTTTAAAAAGAAAATGTGAGTAAAATGGTGCTATAATTTCTGCAACCTTTTTTTAAGTCTGTCCATGTTGATACCTAGTGAGTTCATTCATGTCAACAGCTCTACAATGTTCCATTATGTGCCTATAGCAGCACCTATTCCCCATTGATGGGCAACTAGGTTGCTTCTGTAAACAATGCTTCACTGACAACTTTATAAATATGTAAGAAAGACTCTAGGGTTTATACCTGGATATATAATTGGTGGGTTTGGGGGATGATGGTTGAAATGTGTTCCCTGAAAAGATAAATGTTCAAGTTCTAACTCAGGATAGCTGTTAATGTGATTCACTTGGAAACAGGGTCTTTGCAAATATAATCGAATTAAAATAAGACCACCAAGGTGTACTCTAGCTCGATATAACTGGAGTCATATTGAAGAGTCAGACAGAAAGAGAACAGGAGTGAGGCAGCGATTACTGTGATGTATCAGCAAAGGAGTGCCAAGGATTGCAAACAATTGCCAGAAGCTATGAGAAAATCATAAAACAGCTTCTCCCTGAGAGTCCAGAGGCACAAACCCTGCCAACACTTTTATTTTGGACTTCTGGCCTCCAAACTGCCAGACAATAAATTTCTATTGTTTTAAAGCACCCAGTTTGTGCTGATTTCTTACAGCAACCCAAGCAAACTAACATAGTGGTGGAACCAGAAGTCATGCTCCTGCATGGGAGTATAGGTCAAGGTTAACGTGAGAGAGCAGATGACTCTGGCAAGAGCACACTGGGGCTGGACTGGAAGGCCCTCCGTGTGACCCTATGTAGGGATGTGGACTTCATCGCACAGGCAGGGCGGAGCCACAGAGGCTAAATTAAATCAACAAGGAACACAGCTCTATCTGGGTTTTAGAGAATTGTATCAGAACAAGCTCAAGTTCGGAGAGGACTTAATTGACTTGTGGACTTGTCTGAAATTCACGTTTTCCTTTTAAAAATGATTCATTCCGGGCATTGGGCTGTGGGGGCATACTGAAATCCCAGGCTGAGGCAGGAGGATCAACACAGCGAGGTCAGCCTGGGCTGAGCAGGAGGCCCTGTTTAAAAAAAAAAAAAATCATTCCCTCCTGCACATAATTATGAGGGCTTGAGGTAGACAAATTAGTCATTAATAATCATGGGGTATTTTGTGTTTACTAAATCGGGCCCTGCTAATCTCAGTTAATCCTCACAACTGTTCCACAAAATACACTTGCTATCCTCTCCATGACAGGGATAAGGAAGCGGTCAGCAGGGTGAGATCATTTGCACTTGACATGCACTTAGGAAAACGGTCCAGCTGATGGGTGAGACGTGAAAGTAAGGCCACCTTTGGTCTTAGTGGCTGTAAGGCATTGCGCACTTTCCCTGGGTCTGTCAACACGTTCCCACCTTTCAAGTTGGGAAAGTTGCCACCAGCAGCTGCCAGGCTGTTGGGCAAGATTAACTGAAGGCAGCGTGGCAAGCGCCGGATGCAGCGGGTCCTCACGCAAGAGAGGCGGACGTGAAAAGCCGTGTCGTCAGGGTTTTCTCAGACCTCGGCGGAGGCCTCGCCGTTCCGCCCCCCGGCCGCCAGGGGACGCTGTGACGCGGCTCGGCCTGGCGAGCGGCCACTCTAGCCTCGCCCGGGACGTCGCTGTCCTCAGCTTGTTCAGGAGCGCGCGCCTCTGTGCCTGCAGCCCCTTTCCCTCGGTTCTGTCCTGCTGCTAGCCACTGCCCTCTTGCAGCCCACCATGGCCCTGCTGCACTCCGGCCGCGTCCTCTCCGGACTGGCCACCGCTTTCCACCCGGGCCTTGCCGCCGTAGCCTCTGCCAGAGCCAGGTAAGCCAAGGGATACTGAGATGGCGCCAGGACCACGGGCCTGCCCAGCTAAGCTGGGGACACTGCGGGACATCTGCTGGTCCCCGACTCCAGACACACACACGCACACATACAACTCTCCCTGTTGTGCACTCCTTTGGCTTCGGGTTGAGCGTCCGCGACTCACAATGGCCCCCAGAGCCCCACATCCCTGTCCTGCGCTCCCCTCCACGCGCCGCTGAGAGCGAGCTAACGCAGGCCCCCGCGGAAAGGAATGGTGGCCCTCTGCGGTACCTGGACTCTCATTCGAGGGCGGGCGGGGGGGAGGGTCGGGGATGCCGAGTCGGCGCCGTGGGTGCGGGGCGTGGGGAGAACACGCGGGCTACAGTGCCCGACCAGCCTCGCCCTGATTGGCGGTGGCGCCGGGGCTGCCTCGCACCGATTGGCTGCGGCGCAGGGAGCTTGAGTGCCCTTGACCAGCGGCCCTGGGGGGCAGCGGGGCGCCTGAGTTAGGGACCTGGGCTGGGTTACTCCGGACGGGGCAGGACAGTGGCTGGATGCTGCCTGTGTACCAGGGAGGAAGGGAACGCCCCGGGGGAAGCTTCTCTGACCTCCGCTTGCCTCGCTGCATCCCGTGACCTTGGCGTAGGTGTAGCAGCCTGCTGTCGGTGTCACCTCCTGAGTTCCCGGTGACTCCTCCCCACCCCGCCCGTTTGGCCTGTGGATGAGAAAGGGTTGAGGTGAAATGCGCCTCTTTTTTTGTTTTAAGCTCTTAGGAGGTTTGGCCGTAAGGAAATCATCCATCTTCCTCCCCATCGCGTTCCGCTCTTTGATTTCGTAAATATTTCGTAACCCCAGTTTCTCTGAGCCAAGCACTGGACCAGATGCTGGCCATACAGCGGTGAACCGGACAGGATCCTCTCAAAAAGTGGCAAATGTATTGTTTCGAACTATGATGTCTATTGTCGCACAGAGGGAAAATTCACAATAAAAGCCAGTAATTTTTGCCTGAGCCAGGTGATTAATTCACTCATTTAGGGGTGTCCTTAAGTACTATCTTAAAGCTAACCCCTCCACTCCACCCCACCCCCGCACATATTAACTACCAGGAGTAAATCCTTGCTTGGCCTTTTATGCTCATCTTGGCCTTGTCTTTGACTGTAGGCTGGAGGTCTTCAAGCCAACAGAACAGTCTGTCCTTTACAAAGCCCCACACTCCTGGCAGTACAGTTTTGCCATGGCTTTCACACTCTTTCCCGTCCTAATTTGGCTCCTTGGCTAGCTGTCTGTCATTCGTGTGCTCTTTAAGCCTACCTTTCTAAGGAGTGATGATTAGGGAGGAATTACTTATGAGGCCGATTTGGAGGACAAAAAGGACTGATTTCATGGGCAAGAGAAAGTCTGTTTCAGCATTATAGTAATCTTAAAATAATCCCTGTTTTATGAATTTGGCTGGGAGGCCTGAAGCTCTCTTTAATAGTGCTTGGACACATTTCCTTTGGGTGTGACCTTTTAGTCATTCCTCAATTTGAGAGCCTGACCAATTTTTTTTTCCTCTGTGTTTTCACCGTTAGAATGTAAGTTACATGAAAGCAGAAATTCACTTGCTTTGCTCAATCTTAAATCTCAGCACTCAGTGCCTGGCATGTCTTTTAGATTGAATATTTTTATTTCAAAGCCTAATTTTTAGTCAGGCACCTTTGGCTCACATCTGTAATTCTAGCTACTCAAGAGGCAGAGATCAGGAAGACTGAGGTTTGAAACCAGCCTGGGGAAATAGTTTCAGAGACCCTATCTAGAAATACCCAATTTTACTCGACACAAAAAAGGACTGGCAGAGTGGCTGAAGTGGTAGAGTGCCTCCCTAAGCAATTGTAAGGCCCACATTTCAAATCTCAGTACCACCAAAAAAAAAAAAAAATGCCTAATTTTTAAAAATAAATATGACGTTTTAATGCTGCATTTTTAAATCAAAATTTAAACATGAAGGGGAACCATAGTACTGCAAAATGTGTGCCAAAGAGTAAAAAGTTACAATATTGGAGCACTGATGATCAGGAGCTGCTGTCAACCTTAAATAAGGAGCCAGGGTTGGGTGGCCATGGTGACCAGTTGCCATGTCTGGCCATGAGTGTTAACTACGCAGACAGGGGACTGAGGGTCTTCCCTTCAGGTGGAGGCATTTAAGACTGGCTAGGCAGGCTCTTCACCACTTAAGCCAGGCCTCCAGCCAGAAGGTGATCCTTACCTAGAGCCAAATGGTAAGAATTGGAAACTTTTTTTTTTTTTTTTTTTTTTTTTGCAGTACTGGAGTTTGAATGCAGGGCCTACACCTTGAGCCACTCCACCAGCCCTTTTTTGTGATTGGGTTTTTTGCCCGGGGTGACTTCGAACCATGATCCTCCTAATCTCTGCCTCCTGAGTAGCTAGGATTACAGGCATGACCTACCAACACCCAACCAAGAATGGGAAACATTTAAAATAATCTTAGCCCATTGATGTGGGGTTTTTTGGTTGTTTTTTGGGAGTGGGGGAGGAGGGGGTAAGACCAGGTCTCACTGTATAGCCGAAGCTTGCCTCAAACTTGGAATCCTCCTACCTTAGCCTCCCCCAAGTTCTGGGATATCAGGCTTTACCTTTTTTGAGGGGGGGGGGGGCGGGGGAAAGCCCATTCTTAATAAATAAAACCTTAGCAATTTTCATACTCAGATCATTAAATGGATCCCTTTCTAAATTCAAGTGTTTGATTTAGCCACATTTTTTAAACAGAAAGTATTGAACTTAACTTTTTTCTGTTGGCCTATGCTATAAAAGCACAGTGACATGAGATCAGACTCACAGGTCATTGAAGAAAGAAAAAACCCTAATGTATTTTATTTGTGATGATCTGTTTTTATTTGTTTTTTTGCAGTACTGGGGATCAAACCCAGGTCCTAGAGAATGCAAAGCAAGCAAATATTCTACCACTAAGCTAAAACCTCAGCCTGTTTTTAATTATTTAATTGTGATTATTTAATATCTTAGTGAAGTAAGTGAAGGAGTATCATGAGACTCCCTAGAAAGGCAGCATGCAGCCGGTCGTGGTGGCGCACGCTGTTAATAAACGAGGCAAAGAGGATGAGGCAGGAGGATCACGAGTTCGAGGCCAGCCTGGGTGTGGGGGGAAAGAAAGGCAGCATGCAAAGGCGATATGACAACCGGTAGTTAAAAGATCAGAATTGGGGCTGGGATGTAGCTCACTGGTAGAGTGCTTGCCTAGCTTTGGGTTCAATCTCAAGCATCAAAAAAGGAGAAGGGAAAAAAATCAAAAATATTTTCTGTGACCATGGACAAGTTCATTTACTTCTCATTTTGAAAAAAAAAACGAAGAAAGTAAGGTGAACATTTTAAAAACTGTAACACACTAAGTAGAAAGTTATTTTAAGTAGAAAATACAGGGCATTTGAACTGCAAATGCTTATCAGAATACTTTGTACCCAACATCTTTTGGTTGGCTGGTCAATATTGTTCAATGTTTGAGGCTTCTGTCCAAAGGGCATAAGGGCATTGATAGGATTCACGTAGGCTACAGGTTATCAGCATGAATTTTATCCCTAGAGCACTCTTGTTTTCATCTAGGGCAATTTCTTCAAAAACAGAGTTTTGTTATTTGGTTTGAGTTTGGGTTTTTTTGTTTGTTTGTTTTGGTTTTCCTGGTACTTAGGTTTGAACTTAGGGCCTTGAACCTGCTAGGCAGGCAAAAACAGAGTTCTTACATGTATGTAGTCTTTACCATTTTAAGGAGTGGAATAATGCAGGCCCTGAAGGACCTGAAACGTGATTGCTAATGTAGAGCTAATCAAATTGAGTGTCCCTGCTCCTATATTTAGATTGATTAAAATTCAATACTTTGAAATTGCTCTTAGCATTCTTCTTAAGAAGTGGACCAGAAGACTCAAGGCTCTGATTTCTGAGATCATTTCTATGCTAAACATTTTAAAGAACTGTACTAAATGTTTTAAAGAACTTAATGTTTTTTCATACAGTTTAACAAGAATAGTGCTTTCTTGTCTTTGTGGTTAGGGCAGCTATGTTATTGTTTAAGGGCCTAGGAGGCAGATAATCTTTTTAAAAATGAAAGTTGCTTTCTAGAAGTTTGAATGTCCTTGACATTCACAGTATTCCTTTCACTCAGCACTGAATGACAGTGATGTAAATAGGCAGGTGGCTAAATGTTTTCTGGGCCTGAATTGTGGATGAGAAATAAGCAAAGTTTTCTTCAGGCCCAGTTCAGAAGTTGCAAGGTATCTATGTTTCTTCTTTAAAGGCTAGAGCAACAATTTAAAAAAGCAAAGAGAGGAGAGGGGAGTATTTGAGTCCTGGCACCAGAGCAAGTAATGGGGGAAGATAATAACATCTCCTGAGACTGTAGGAAAAAAATAAATAGTAATAATTGAAAAGCCAAAAAGACTTGCACTTGGTCATAAAGTACTATGACCATATGCTTCTGGTCTCACCAGACTCCATACTAGTGTCAGTGTAGTCACAAATAAAATGATAGTAGTAACAATTTAGTAAAAATGATACCAGTTAATATCAAGCACTCACTCTGTGCAATCCTGTTTTCTCAGTACCTTATCATCCTTGTACAACCCTGCTTGATCGCGCGATTGGTAGGTGCCTAAATCCATATAGCTTTCCCAAGACAAGCTATTAGAGAAACCACTAATCCAGAAAGTAGAAGAACCTGCTTGTAAATAAGAAAATTAACTTTGCACACCAGTTATGGCTGTTGAGACTGAAGCAGTTTTGAGCCATCAGGAGAGCTTGAATTCAGCTCCATGCTACCATGCTGGATCTGCCACCTGTCGTGCTTCATGGAGAGTGAGGCCCAGGAGTGCTGACGGGCCGCAAGTTCAATAGAAACCATTTCTGGGAAAGAAATCCTACTGAGTAATTCCAAGCTTCTCAGCATGATGAGCACACAGAACTTTCACTGAGCCCTGCTGAAACATTGCGTTGGTTGGGATTAAATGGATGTTGGATGTTGCTAAGTGAATTTGGGCTATTTCACCTAAATTACTTGGAACCTGGCTTCCTTAAGCTTCCACTTTCTGCTGTGACAATACATAGCACCTGACACCCTTTCTCACCCTGAGCCTTTACTTTTCAACTCTGCTTGAAATGCCCTTTCCTACCTCCTTTCATACTTAGCACTCAGCTCATGGGTTACCTCTTTCTGGAAATCCTCCTAATCCTACACACTTTTTAGGACTTCTTCTCAGGGTTCCCCATATTGTGTGCCCTGGGCCTATTGTTATCACTGTGAATTCTCTCTCTCCTCCTCCCCTGAACTAACCTGACAGTAAGGGGTTAATGTTTTACTCTTTACATCCCCAGCACACAGCAAATTTGTAATGATTGATTTAGAAGATCTTAAGAGACATTGTTTTATGTACTATGAAACTGTGAAAAACTTGCCTATTCTCCCTGAAGAAAAGGAGTAAAATAATCTTTTCCTTAGAACAGTAATCTACCATGAGGTTAAAACCCTCAGGTTGATACATTAATGCACCCATTTTGCCAGAAGGGTATTTACTGAAAGAAAAGCCATTACTTTACAGGGGTCCTCTAGGGAAATTTCAAAGATATTTTTGTTTTCTGTATTTTAGATCCAATTCTGTGAAGGCCAATTTTTTAAAAGTTATTGGTTGATATTTGACTAAATATACTTGTGAGTACCTGACAATCGTTGGTTACCTATTTAACCAAAATGAGGATAAAATATTAAAATTGAACACGTGACAATTGTGTGACAGTCTTTCATATGTAAGAAACCATTTTTGTTTTGCTTAAATAATCAAGTCAGCATAAAGCATAGAAAAATATTATGGTATAACAAAATCTCTACTGTTTAGGCTGATTGCAAAGAAGATAAGAAATGACCTTTCATATTGTAGGTGAAGTCACTAATCACTAACCCAGCCCATCAACATTGGGTAAACTTGTTAAAATATTAACACGTCACAGCTTCCTCCCCCTTTTTTTCATTATATTATTGTTGTGCTGTGGGTACATTGTGACATTTACAGAAGTTCTTACAGTTGAATTCACCCCCTTCATCATTCTTTATTCCGCTCCCCTCCATAGCTTCTTTTCGGTTATTATAAATCCAGACCACTAAGCAACAGTCCCTCACACTCTTCCTTTCCCTTCTGGGCCTGCCAGAATGGCCCCTGTACAGAAGGGAGGTAGGAAGAGGAAAGCTGTGCTGAGACGGATAACACCCTTAGCATTTTGCGAGTGCATACATGGAATGCATACATGGAGGCTTCCAGACACCCTTTCTCACCTGACATCCTTGAGCTCTCAAAGAGATCTGGAGACCTGCCAGATGTGTGACTAGATACTGGGCTCATAAAGCTGTCTGTCTATACCAAAGGCTGAAGGAATGTCCCATACTATATCTCTGTGCACTTGTCTAGAAAATGTAATGAAGATAAACTCAACAAACTCTGTGTAACCACTTTCAAAAATCTCCTGGAGCCGGGCGCCGGTGGCTCACACCTATAATCCTAGCTACTCAGGAAGCAGAGATCAGAGGATTGCAGTTTGAAGCCAGCCTGGGCAAATAGTTCACAAGGTCCTATCTCGAAAAACCCTTCACAAAAATGGGATGGGTAGAGTGGCTCCAGGTGAAGGCCCTGAGTTCAAACCCCAGTACTGCAAAAGAAAAAAAGTTCTGCTGACAATCACTGTGGATGAGAACTAACCACTGACAAAGTTACAAAACTCCAACAACAACAAGACAAGATTCACTTTCCAATCCTGTACTCATGCTCTTTTGTATTTGGATCTAACTGACAGTTTAGGATGGCTGTCTCAGGAGGTCTACAGGTCAAAACTAATTTCCTCTTAGTTTTAATTTCTCATACAGCAAATATTAATAATTACACCCCACATAAGCAATTCTTTGAGGAGCTTCAGCCAGCCACAAGCTCAGTCTACTTGCCTATATCTCCTACTCCAAGCTCAAAAACTGCTTGTGTCCACAATGCCAAGGGTCTTAGGTTCTGCCAGCCAAAGGCCAAGGGCCAGGTTAGGGCTGCACTTAGGACTGGCTCCAGCTTTCAGCTTCAGCTTCATTCCAGCCCAGGTTCCCAGATGTGCCCAGGTCACCATGCAGGCTCAACAAACAAACCATAGTTTTTTGGAGTCCTCAATAAGTTTTTAGCAGCATAAAGGAATCTAAAGACCAAAAAGTATGAAAACTGCAGCTTTGGGACAACAGTTGTATTTCCCACTCACTGTTGATTCTAGTACAATATGGTCTCAACCACTCATTAGTTATCCTTTAACCAATGTAACTTGTGTTTCACCAGGAAAACTGAGGGGGTAGCAGTGATGTCAGTCCCACCCAGGCATTTTAAGAAGATGAGCAAAACTCACGAACACAGCACAGCTTCCAAGCCACACATGGGCCTTTCATGCCTTCTTTATGTGGCAGCGAAGGATGCATTCATTGTAATGACTCAAGGTTATGGCTTCCCTAGAGCATGTAAAAATAAGAAGCAAAAGTATATAAACTTGAAATTATGCTTAGTAATCAATGTCTGACTTAGATGTTACCTAGGTATCCAATAATTAATTAGTCCATTAATTAACTCTAGTATTCATCTATGATTAAGTTACCTAAAGGCCTTAGAAATTGTCTTCAAAGCTGACATGTTATAAAATACAGTTAATGTTCTCCCAAAAACCTATAACCATGGTCTAATCATTAGAAAAACATCAAACAAATTCCAGTAGAGGGACATCCTACAACATACTTGACCAGTATTTTCCAAAACTGTCGAGGTCATTGAAAACAAGGAAAGTCGGAAACTGTCAAAACTAAAAGACAAGACAACTGAGTGTGCTGGACATTGAATGTGGTAAACATTGTCAAACATTTTAACCCAGTTAGGTACAAGGGAGCCAGTAAAAGGTTACAACCAGTACTTCCAGCTAGTTTTTAACTCCTAAATTCCTGGCAGTTCTCTCCCTTCCTCTCAATCCCTACTGCCTTGACGCTGGTTCACATCCTCATCTTTGTCCTTATGGACGACAAACCATATTCTTCAGTGATCCTTCTGCATCCACCCTTACCACTCTGCACTCAGTACCCTACCCTGTGGCTACATGGGCCTTAAAGAATACATGTCCAACTATGTCATCACTCCCCTCACCTCATCAGTGTCTTCCCCCTCAAAAAAAAAAATTGTAATGATTCCCTGTTTGTCACTGTATCCAAGGTGGGGTCCAGGAATCTGTATGTTTAACAAGCCCAAATTATGCTCTTAACAAGTTTGAGAACAGGATAAAAACCCACATCCCTTAAGGACTTCAAACAATAGGCTCACATAGCTCTTGCTTCTTTTTCTTATCTTTTACCACTCTCAGCTTCTCACTGCCATATTACCGCAAGGTTTTCTACTGGGAAATTCAGGTCAAATTTACACTGCCTTAAAGGTCTATTCATTTATCCTGTCCACTCCAGGATAATTCAGGTGCTCCCCTTCTGCATCTCATAGTACCCGTATTGAAATTATTGGTCTCTGGTCTTCTGCAAGGTAGTCTAAGTTTTTTATGTTGTTGGCTTGTTGGTAACCCTGTGAACAACATGCAAACATTTGTTGAAGTAGATCTTTGGCAGATCAGAGACATCTCTAGCCTTGGGGACCTAGCTGATGTCACTGAGAGAGGTATTTCTCATTTCAGCTCCTGGTGGGCGCATGTGGAAATGGGACCCCCAGATCCTATCCTGGGAGTCACTGAAGCCTACAAGAGAGACACCAACAGTAAAAAGATGAACCTGGGAGTTGGTGCCTACCGGGATGATAATGGAAAGCCTTACGTGCTCCCTAGCGTCCGGAAGGTAAGCTTGCCATCTGTCTCCTGGGTCAGGATGAGGAAACTGAAGGAAGGAGCTTCTGAGAGACCAGGACTCAGGACCCTGGGTTCTAGTTCTGGAACTGACTGCAGGAATCGCTCCAGTGTTCTGGGCTATATTCTCCTTGGCTACAAAAGTGAGAGTTTGGAATCATGTGGTCTTTTCCAAGGTTGAAAACCAGTCTTAGTGTTATGTCTAATCCTGAGGGTGCACCAGAGGGCCAAGAGTTTAACATGTCTTTTGCAGCCCTCTGTGGATGAGGGTTAATGGGACTGTTTTTCTGTTTCTCCCATTTTGGTTACCTTAGTAAAACCATTATTTTCATTACATTTTTATTAGTTGTATAGTTTCTATTATAACTAATCCTCTTGGAGCAAGTTTTAAAAATTATTCATGGCTGGGAACGTAGCTCAGTGGTAAAGTACTTGCCTACCCTGTGAAACTCAAAGTGCACGCACACACACATATTCAGGTATTGTTGCAGGCTGGGGCACACCAGGCACTATTGTACATTACCTCATTAGCATTTCTTCTCAACCCAGTAAGGCATAGAAACAGTTTTTCCTCCATTCAACCTTCTTGGGACTTGGAAAGGTAAAATCACTTGCCAAGGGTCACACAGCTGTTGAGGACAGCCAGGTTTCTGGCTCCAAAGCATGAAAATGTGGCAATTCCTATTAACTCTCTAAAGTTCTTAGATTTGCAGTGTACCTTGAAATACTTCTTACCTATTTAGTTTAATTTTGTCTTTTTATATCTACTTTAAGTGTTGCTCCTAAACCTTGTTCTTGTGTATTCCAAGAATACCATTTTACATTAAATGGTAGCCAAGAGAGGCTGTGTACCAGTTCACCTAACACCTTACTTTCAGTCAGGTGTGGTGATACACCTCTGTAATCCTAGCACTCACAATGCTGAGGCAGTAAGATCAAGAGTTTTGAGGCCAGCCTGGCCTACATAGTAAAATCCTGTCTCGAAATTAAGTAAATAGTAAAATATACATAATAAGGTCCTTCCTGTTCTATGATATAAAATAATCGAGTATTCCACCTACCCTTCTTTTTTTTTTTTTTTTTTTTATTATTCATATGTGCATACAAGGCTTGGGTCATTTCTCCCCCCTGCCCCCACCCCCTCCCTTACCACCCACTCTGTCCCCTCCCTCTCCCCCCCCTCAATACCCAGCAGAAACTATTTTGCCCTTATTTCTAATTTTGTTGTAGAGAGAGTATAAGAATAATAGGAAGGAACAAGGGTTTTTGCTGGTTGAGATAAGGATAGCTATACAGGGAGTTGACTCACATTAATTTCCTGTGTGTGTGTGTTACCTTCTAGGTTAATTCTTTTTGATCTCACCTTTTCTCTAGTTCCTGGTCCCCTTTTCCTATTGGCCTCAGTTGCTTTTAAGGTATCTGCTTTAGTTTCTCTGCGTTGAGGGCAACAAATGCTAGCTAATTTTTTAGGTGTCTTACCTATCCTCACCCCTCCCTTGTGTGCTCTCGCTTTTGTCATGTGCTCAAAGTCCAGTCCCATTGTTGTGTTTGCCCTTGATCTAATGTCCACATATGAGGGAGAACATACGATTTTTGGTCTTTTGAGCCAGGCTAACCTCACTCAGAATGATGTTCTCCAATTGCATCCATTTACCAGCGAATGATAACATTTCGTTCTTCATGGCTGCATAAAATTCCATTGTGTATAGATACCACATTTTCTTCATCCATTCGCCTACCCTTCTTCTTAGACAGTAACTTCAAATAAAAGACTAGGCTTGCCAGGAACAGTGGTTCATGCCTGTAATCCTAGATATTTGGGAGGCAGAGATCAAGAAGATCGAGGTTTGAGGCCAGCCCTAGGCAAAAATTCAAGCCCTTACCTAAAAAATATCTAAAGCAGAAAAGGGTTTGGGACATGGCTTAAGTGGATACTGCCAAAATAAATAAAAAACTTGCCAGGTGTGGTAGTACTTGCCTGTAATCCCTGCTACTCTGGAGTCTGAGGAAGGGTGATCACTTAAATCCAGGAGTTGAAGGCCACCCTTGGCAACATAGCAGAGACTTCATCTGGGAGTTTGAGGGGAGAGGGCACCAGAATTTAACTTACAAAGCATTAATTACAAAACTGGGCATGGTGGCACATGCCTAGAATCCCAGTGAAGCAGAGGTAGGAAGATCAAGAGTACAAGACCAAAATGTGAGGACAATCTGGCTGCGACATCTGTCACCCCACTGATCACCAGGGTTGATTCAGCTGATCTAGTTGACTGAGCACCTGGTGTCCCTCCTGACACCAATAGAGGAGGACCGTTCTTTGGTCAAGGGTGTATGAGTAGCTGTGGTCCCCTACTGTAACTTCCAAACAGCTCTCAAGAGTATAAGACCAGCTCTGGCGAAAAGGTAGTAACAAAAGGGCTAGAGATATAGCTCAAGTGGGAGAGTGCTTGCCTAGCATACAAAAGGCCCTGGGTTCAATCCCTAGTACCGCAAAAATAATAAAAAGATTTAAAGAAAAAAACATTAATTAGTAATCATAATAATCATAGTAGTTCCAGGTAAGAAGAAACTAAATAAACGTATTTTCTCTTGTATAGGCAGAGGCTCAGATTGCTGCAAAAAATTTGGACAAGGAGTACCTGCCCATTGGGGGACTGGCTGAATTTTGTAAGGCATCTGCAGAGCTGGCCCTGGGCGAAAACAGCGAGGTGTTGAAGAGTGGCCGGGTAAGTCATGCCAACCACATGCCCGGTGGGAGAGCATTTGCCTAGCATGTTCCAGGTCTTGGATTCAGTCTCCAGCACCAAAAAAATAAGGTTATTCACAAGACTGGTCTAAGTACAGACATTAGTTCATTAACTTAGAGAAGAATATATAGCCTCAACCCCAAAGTGATACACTCCTTAACCTAAGTCATGGACCAGATACAGTTTTGTTGTACAATAAACTACCTGTTAACCTCATGAAAACTTCTGTCTAAGTGATTCTTTAGCTAAGTAGAAGACTGGCCCATCTTAAAATAACATTGCATTTCTGTGCTTGGTAAATCATTAGTATTATCAGACCTACAGTTGGGCTTTTATTTTCATCATGCCAGAGTTTGCAGGGCAGCTATCTATCTGTCCTCTGTTTAATCCACAGCCAGCTCAGTTCAGAAAACAGGTTTACATTTTATATAGCCTTGTATTTCTATAGTACTTTAAAAGAAACAAACCAGAGCTGGGCATGGTGGTGCACACTGTAACCACAGCACTTGGGGAGGAGGCTTTCAAGTTTGAGACCAGCCTGGGCTATACAATGAGACCTTGGCTCAAAAAGAAAAAAAAACAAGCGAACCAAAAACCTCTTAAACTTAATGTGGTTTAGTTCCTTAAAGTTAACCAGTTTGAAGAAACAGATTTATTTCAGACATTTTTGTTACCCAAAAGATGAGTATTTTCAGATTATGAAAACTCATAGACAGATGCAGTAGCTTATCCTACAGTCCTCGCTACGCAGGAGGTGGAGATCGGAGGATCAAGATTTGCCTTGGCAAAAACTTGAGCTCCATCTCAACCAATAAAGAGCTGGACGTGGAGGCGCACACTAGTCCTCCCAGGTGGGTGGCAGTGTAATGACAAGCAGTATGGTCCAGGCAGCCAGGACACAAACCGAAAACCCTACTCTAAAATACCTAAAGCAAAAAGGCTTTGGCGTGGCGCAAGTGGTAAGTGTCTCCCTGGAAAACACAGTTCAAAACCTCAGTACCAGAAGACAAAAAAACTCATAGGATAGGACCTCTTAGACAACCTTTAAAAAGTGCTAGCATAAACTAGGAGCATAGCCCACTGATACAGCTTATGTTTAGCCTGTGTGAAGACGTGTGTTTGATCCCCAGCATCACAAAAGATAAAATAATCAATAGAATGTATTGATGTTATCCTAGTGTAATTATTGAGTTTGTTTTCAAGGAAATTGGAAAGAAAGGGTCGTACTGTTTTGTATAATTCTGGAGTAGTTTTAACATAGTGGGTATTAGTATCTTTGAATATTTTTTGAGTAAATCACTCCTTTTGATTATTAGGAATTTTTTGTGTCCTAAAGTTTTCCATGTAACATGGATGATACTAACAAGCCAAAAGGAATTAGCTTTTAAAGTACGAAGGGTACCATCTGGGCCAAGAAGAGCCTCTCTCTGGACAACCACATCACTGACCATGGTGTCTTTCCTGCAGTTTGTCACTGTGCAGACCATTTCTGGAACTGGGGCCTTAAGAATCGGAGCCAGTTTTCTGGTGAGTCTGGAAACTCCAGCCGAGGGTGACAAGGGTTCCTGTCCTTTATGTATTTGATGAATGGCCCAGAAGTAGGTTTCTTCTTTCCACAGGATTGCCTGTTCTCTAATGAAAGAAAAAAAGTGCTTTGGAGAAATTATAAAGATATATAATGATAAATCCATTTATTGAGCACATACTGTTACTAGGAAACTTTTGTATTTTAATTCCTTTAGTCCTTATAAGGGAAGTTCAATTAACCCTGTTTTACAAATGAAGAAAGTGAAGCCCAGACAAGTACTTGGCTACACAGTCAGGATCATTGTCAGAGCATTGATTCCAACCCAGCAGTCTCGATGCTGACTCAGTTGATACTCTCAACCTTACAGAGAAGCTGAGTTTCAGTAAAGAAAAATGTTCTCTCAGTAAAATACACCAAATTTTGTTTTTCCTTTCTTCATTCTTCCATTCCCTTTTGTTCCATCTTTCAGCAAAGATTTTTTAAGTTCAGCCGAGATGTGTATCTCCCCAAACCATCCTGGGGAAATCACACTCCCATCTTCAGGGATGCTGGCATGCAGCTACAAAGTTACCGATACTACGACCCCAAGACTTGTGGTTTTGACTTCACAGGCGCCATAGAGGACATCTCAGTAAGTATGGCTTTCAGACTGGGAGAGGTGAAAGAATAGGAATAAACATCCTTGCAGACATTTGATGTCTCCTAACTGGGTCTTAATATCTGACTTAAAATAATTCCCAGACCAGAAGTTCTGTTTGTCACTTCTCAGATGATGATGACCTATGGCATTTCAGGTAACTATCTCCTTTAAAGCCAAAAAAGAAAAGTCTTCTCACCAGATGCCCGTGGCTTATGCCTGTAATCCTAACTACTTGGAAGGGTCACAGTTGAGGCCAGCTTGGGCAAATAGTTAGAAAGAACCCATTTCCAAAATAACCAGAGCTGGACTGGAGGTGTGGCTGAAGTGGTGGAGCACCTGCTTTGCAACCATAAAGCCCTGAGTTTAAACCCCAGTCTCACCAAAAAAGAAAAGTGTTTCTTGGTTTTCTCTTTAGAAAATTCCAGAGCAGAGTGTCCTCCTCCTGCATGCCTGTGCTCACAACCCCACGGGAGTGGACCCTCGTCCTGAGCAGTGGAAGGAAATGGCAACAGTGGTAAAGGTGAGGATGGTGACCTAACTGGTGGCATGCCATGTGTAGTGACTAGCCTTGGATGCTTGACAATGAACCTGCACAAAATTTCCACATGTGGATAAACTACCAGGAGAGAGTTCCTCATTTACATAATTAGCAGTTCTGTAATTTATGATGCATGAGCAGTCTGAAAACAGTTTTTGTTCCTCAGCCTAGACATGGCAGGTTCTGATAAAACTTGTCATTGGCCAGCCTGCACCCGGCTGCACAAGCCCAGGGGTTCTGCTGGTGGTGCCTTCATTGCCCTAGCTGGTGGATGCATTCCCATCCTTTTGTACACTTTTCCACATCTCCTCCTTTCCTTGCCTTTATCACTGGCTGAGTATAGGTGGCTGTTAGACACTAGTCAGAATTCTAAGGAGGGAAATATTCCTGTCATCTGTTTTTTTTTTTTCTTTATTCATATGTGCATACAATGTTTGGGTCATTTCTCCCCCCTGCCCCCCGCCCCCTTCCTTTCCCCCCCTACACCCTTGCTTCCGGGCAGAAACTGTTTTGCCCTTATCTCTAACTTTGTTGAAGAGAGAGTATAAACAATAATAGGAAGGACCAAGGGTTTTTGCTAGTTGAGATAAGGATAGCTATACAGGGAGGTTCCTCGTATTGCTTTCATGTATATATGTGTTACATTCTAAGTTGATTCGTCTCAAACTAACCTTTTCTGTAGTTCCTGGTGAGACCACCCACAGAGTGGGAGAAAATATTTGCCAGGTACACATCAGACAAAGGACTGATAACCAGAATATACAGGGAACTCAAAAAACTAAACTCTCCCAAAATTAATGAACCAATAAAGAACTGGGCAAGTGAACTAAACAGAACTTTCTCAACAGAAGAAATTCAAATGGCCAAAAAACACATGAAAAAATGCTCACCATCTCTAGCCGTAAAGGAAATGCAAATTAAAACCACATTAAGATTCCACCTCACCCCTGTTAGAATAGCCATCATTAGTAACACCACTAACAACAGGTGTTGGCGAGGATGTGGGGAAAAAGGAACCCTCTTACACTGCTGGTGGGAGTGCAAACTAGTACAACCACTCTGGAAAAAAATTTGGAGGCTGCTTAAAAATCTAACCATAGATCTGCCATTTGATCCAGCAATCCCACTCCTGGGGATATACCCAAAGGAATGTGACACAGGTTACTCCAGAGGCACTTGCACACCCATGTTTATTGCGGCACTATTCACAATAGCCAGGTTATGGAAACAGCCAAGATGCCCCACTACTGACAATTGGATTATTCCTGTCATCTTGTGTCCCCATTTCACTACCTTCTCTCAAATCTAAGCTGTTTGCTTAGATGAGACAGAAACAGAGTGCAGAAACAGAACACTTTCCAGACAGGGTGATTTTAATGAAGTTGTCCCATGAGCCCTAAGTACAGGACGAGTCTGCCCCAGAAAACGCTGGTGCTAGTCCTGGGTTGATTGGGCAAAAATAATAACCCAGACCACTGGGGACCTTAGCAGAGCCTTCTGTTTGACTAAGCATTCTAGATACATTGAGAATAAGATTTTCTTAGTGTCCTTGAGGAACTATTGCCATCAAAGTAAGAAAAAAGTACTGATATCTTAACCATAGGAAAATTCAGACTGTAGGAAAATCTAACTGTCATCTGGGGAGAAACTGTTGACTGTGTCTGGGTGAGGCAGGCATGGTCCCAATAATCACAGGTAATCCCCTAGGGCATTTGCAGACAGCCTGCCTAAAGCACTGGTCTTCTTGCTCCTTCTCAGAAAAAGAATCTCTTTGCATTCTTTGACATGGCCTATCAAGGATTCGCCAGCGGTGATGGTAACAAGGATGCCTGGGCTGTGCGTCACTTCATTGACCAGGGCATTAATGTTTGTCTGTGCCAGTCATACGCCAAAAATATGGGCTTATACGGTAAGCTACAGGACCCAGCATGACACGTGTTCTGATGAGCTTGTAGAGAATGCCACAAAAGGGGAGAAGGGCATGAGGGAGGGAGAGAAAGGGAGGCAGGCTGTCCTTACCCACAGAGTAAAGATAAGTATAGTGGATTTTACTGATTGACTTTCTTAGCCATATTCTTCAGCGTCCTTGAATTTGTCCAGCAAAGAAAACTGATGAGTGCTTCTCTAAACAAAAAGTGACTGATCTAGGAGCCAAGAAAATAGATGGACTCAAAAGAGACCTTGAGCTGGAGGTGTGGCTCAAGCGGTAGAGTGCCTGCCTGGCAAGTGCAAAGCCATGCGTTCAAATCCCAGTACCATAAAGAAAGAGAGAGAGAGAGAGAGAGAGCCTGTTGCTGGTGGCTCACACCTATAATCCTAGCTACTTAGATCAGGAGGATTGAGGTTCAAAGCCAGCCAGGCAAATAGTTCATGGGACGCTATTTTGAAAAAACCCTTCACAAAAATAGGGCTGGTGGCATGGCTCAAGGTAAAGGCCCTGAGTTCAAACCCCAGTACTGCAAAAAAAAAAAAAGAGAGAGAGACCTTGAATACTCTGGCACTCAAACTTTCTATGATGCCTCAACTCGCCGCTCTGGTTGTTGGAACTTTTTATTTATAATAAAGAGTTGTTTTTGTAGTCCTGCTGATGGAAGCAGATAGTAACAAATTTGATCTCGATTTGTTTTAGCATTTTAGAAGGGAAAACTAGAAGGCTCACTCCATTTTGTCTTTTCAGGTGAGCGTGTGGGAGCTTTCACTGTGATCTGCAAAGATGCAGAGGAAGCCAAAAGGGTGGAGTCCCAATTGAAGATCTTGATCCGTCCCATGTATTCCAACCCTCCTCTCAATGGAGCCCGGATTGCCTCTACCATTCTGACATCCCCAGATTTACGAAAGCAATGGTAAAGACCCGTCTCTCCTCTCCAGTTGTCTATGTGTGCCAACCACTGCTTATTCACTGACTTTGGTGACATATAGTACCCTACAGAGTCCATATTGGACAGGGTGCATTTGGCTGGCACAGAAAAGTTGGTGTTTCCCAGAAGAGATACACCACATTCAGAAATGGCAGCTCCTCTTATTCTACCATCTCCATACTTAGTAAAATCTGTCTTCCCCTAAAATAATAAGAAAATTTCCTCAAAAGGAAGTTTCATTTTTGTTTCCATTTTGTGGCTCTAGTGATCAAGCCCAGGCCCTCACACATGCTAGGCTGAGCTGTATCCCCAGCCACCATATTTTTTTTAATTTTTGTCCCAATAATAGCTAATATTGAATCAACATTTCTTCATTCTTTTGGCTTTTGTTATTTATTTCCTCTGATTCTCAATACCTGTTCACTAAATTAGTGTCACTCAATCTTTTGAGCAGATTCCACATAAGAAGTGCGTTTTATAGCCAGGTGACAGTGGCTTGTGCCTGTAATGCTTGCTACTCAGGAGGCCATGATCCAGAGGATCAAAATTTGAAGATAACCAGGGCAAATAGTTTGCAACACCTTATCTCTAAAATAACCAACACCAGCCAGGCGCCAGTGGCCCACTCCTGTAGTCCTAACTACTCGGGAGGCAGATATCAGGAGGATTGCAGTTTAAATCCAGCCCATGGAAATATTTGCAGGACCCTATCTCGAAAATACCCAACACAAAACAGGGCTGGTAGAGTGGCTCAGGTGGTAGAGCGCTTGCCTAGCAAGTGTGAGGCCCTGAGTTCAAACCCCAGTACCCACAAAAAAATAAATAAAAAATAAAATGACCAACACTACAAAATAGGGCTGGTGGAGTGGCTCAAGTGGTGCCTAGCAAGCATGGCCCTGAATTCAATCCCCAGAACCACCACCACCACACCAAAAAAAAAAAATCAGGTGCTACTGTGAGAGACCAGCCAGCACTAATGCAGTGCTGCCAGCTTCATCATTTTCAAGAAACTACAAGTCCAACATTGTATGTGCAAGTACCCAATTTTAAAATGTTTCACAGAACAAATAAAAACATAACTAGGGCCATTATTTAGCCTTTAATTGTCAGTTTGTAACATCTGCTCTTGCCTTGTGTGCAACTTATCAGAGCGATGGTTTAGGATCATGAACACATGGCACCAGGAAGGTAAATTCAGTGTCATTATAATGACCCCATTGGTGAGAACCCATGAGAATTTCCCACGGGGTCATGGGAATGGAATGTAAAGGTCACTTCAGAGAAAGGGGAAGATCGTGCTCAGAACCAAGTGAGCTGATCTGTAGGCACAAGGACTGCCTTCTCCAGTTCCCAGGCAGAATTATCCCTCTGCACTCTTAGCCTGTTCTGTTAGTTTTGCACTATGTTGCCTCTTCCGTAGTTGATTGTTCACAGGTTTGACTCCTGCCTTCACTACAGGCTTTTTGGGAGGGCGGGGAGGGAGTTGTTTGAACTAAGGGCCTCGTGCTTTCAAAGCAGGCAGTCTGCCACTTGAGACAAACCTCCAGTATGTTCTGCTCTGGTTTGTTTTTTTAGGACTGGGGTTTGAACTCAGGGCTTCACACTTGCTAGGCAGGTGCTCTACCATTTGAACCACTCCCCCAAACCTTTTTTGTATTGAATATTTTTGAGATAAGTGTTTCATGAACCATTTGCCCATGCTGGCTTCAACCTCAATCCTCCTCATCTCTGCCTCCCAGGTAGCTAGTATTATAGGCATGGACCACCATCGCCTGCCTTCCACTGTAAGCTGTTAAAGGCAAAATCAACTGAGGATGGCAGTGCACATCTGTAATCCCAGCATTCAGGAAGCCAATGCAGGAGGTTGTGAATTCACAAACAGCCTAGGCTACACAGTGAGACCCTGTCTCAAAAAAAATAATTGGGAACTGGTGGAATGGCTCAAGCAGTAAGAGTGCCTGCCTAGCAAACATGACGCCCTGTGTTCAAACTCCAGTACCTCCAAAAAGAAAAAAATGAAGGCAAGGACCATTTCTCAGTTCTCAGCACCTAACATAAGTCTTGGCCCATTGTAGGTTCACAATGTATTATCTTCATTGTGAAGGCAGGAATGCTTACTCCATCCATTTAAGAGTAAGGCCAGGATTGGCAGAGTGACACAAGTGGTAGCTAGGATTACGGGCTTGAGCCATTGGCGCCTGGCTACCTTCACTTTTCATAATACTCAAATATGTTAACTGTCACAGTTGCCTGATCAAAGCAGTCATGCTATGAAATAGCTTTCTTCTGGCCAATGACAATGTGTGACCAACTTAATAACAGAGTTGAGGTACACAGGAGGAACTCAGGGAAATAAAGACACTGAACTCTGACTTACCTGTTGGCGTTTAGCCAGAATGAGCTACCGCTGGGGTTTCCTTACAGGTTGGAAGAAGTGAAAGGCATGGCAGACCGTATTATTAGCATGCGCACTCAGCTGGTCTCCAACCTCAAGAAGGAGGGCTCCTCCCATAACTGGCAACACATCACCGACCAGATCGGCATGTTTTGTTTCACAGGCTTAAAGCCTGAGCAGGTGGGTACCCTTTGATTTCTCCACAGCTGATTAGTCCCAGCAAAACAGAAGAAGGTCACCTGCCTGTTCAGAGTTTCCCTAAAAACAGTTACTTTGGAGCCCATGTAGCATTCATGTTTTGGGTTTTGTTGTTGTTTTGAGATGGGGGTCTCATTACATTGCCCAGGCTGGTCTTAAATTCCTGAGCTCAAATGACTGGGACAACAGGCAAGTGTCACTGAGCTTGGCCTGTTTTGTCTTTGTTGGTGGGACTGGGGTTTGAACTCAGAGCTTTGTGCTTACAAAGCAGATGCTCTACCACTTGAGTCACACCTCCAGTCCATGTTGCTCGGGTTATTTTAGAGATGGGATCTTGCACACTCTGCTTGGGCTGACATCGAAACTCAGTCCTCCTAATCTCAGCTTCCCAAGTAACTAGGATTATAGGCTCGAGCCATCAGCACCTGGCATGTTTTGTTTTTTATTGCTTGTTTTGTATCCATGTCTGCCCATGAGGTTGCAAGCTTCTGAAGCATACAGCTTGGAGTTCTGAGGTTTTTATTTTGTTTTCAGTTTTTGTTTTTTGTTTGTGTGTGTTTTGTGATGCTGGGGATGAAACCCAGTGCTTTGTGCATGCTAGGCTAGCATTCTACCACTGAGCCACATCTCTAGCCCACACAGCTTGTTTTGATTATGTTTTTGGTTCTCCAAAGAAGGTTGGGAAAAATAACTGTTCCATAACTCAATTCTGGTTCTAAGGTGAGTCTGAGGATTTTTTTTCACTTTCATGCCACAGAATTCTTCCTGCTTTAAAATAGCTTTTTAATCTTGGTTTACTCTAAGCCATCTTACTGAATTCTGGAAATAGGGCTTAAGTGAGAAAATAGAGCTTCTGTATTTTTCTTTCTTAACAAGTTGGCTATTGTACCCTACCACAGCTGAGAAAAGTCCCCTGACCCAAGCTCTCTCCTCTCTACAGGTGGAGCGGCTGACCAAGGAGTTCTCCATCTATATGACAAAGGATGGCCGCATCTCTGTGGCAGGGGTCACCTCCGCCAATGTGGGCTACCTTGCCCAAGCCATTCACCAGGTCACCAAGTAATTTCCCAGGTGCGAAGGAACAGAGATAACCTTCCCGTCTTCAGCCTCTGCTGCTGTGAGACTCACATGCAGGATGAGGGGGTGAATGGTGGTGAATGGATCATTTCTTTCAACCCGTGCATAGTACTCAACGATTGAATGAGTTCCTCAGAAAAGAACATGTAGTGAGCTGAAATAGGGCAGAGGCATGGTGACTGGTGTCTGGAACTTTGTGACTCTAAACCAAATTCCCCCATCCTTTATTCTCCAACTTTTCTGAAAGAGTTTACATGTGCAAAAAAGTCACAGCACCAAAAAAACTGTCAGTCATGACACTGCAATATTTCAGAAGCTTTAACTGAAACATCATACGGTGTTAGGGATTCCTCTGTGGATCCAGCTGAGACCTCGCTTCTATTAGAGGCTGCAAGAGAAGACCTAGTTGTCATTAACTTAAGTCATCCTCATGTTTGTCCTCCCAAGGTGGAGCAACCTCATCAACAGACCACGTTACAGAAATTGTGCTTTACAAAAACCAATGAGTCTGTTGCCACTGCAGCAAGGAAAACATAGAGGCTACTTACTATCTTATTTAAGGGAAAGAAGGCTCTTCTTAATCATTGCTGTTCTTTTCTTTAGGGGCAAAAATCAATGACTAGCCTAGATTTTCATCCCATTCCACTGCTTGACTTATCGTCAATCCCATCCTATGAGAATTTATTTAAGAATGAAGAACATAATTTTCACCATACCCTCTCCTTTCTTGGCAAAGAGTAATACAGAGTAGGTAACTGCACTTTAGTTAAGCATCCTCTTTGATCATTGGGTAATTGTCTGCCCGGCTGGACCTCTTCCTTCCTTCAGTCTGGCTGTGCAGCCTCTCATCTTGCATCATGAGTCAGACAGTACAGGCTAGGACCAGAAAGGAGATGCCCTGGGTTTGTGTGCTGCCAGCCAGGTTCAGACTCCATCCTTTGGAAAGATAACCACCATCTGCTCTACTCATATCGACTTAACTGCAGCCTGGTTTCTCTGTTACAATAAAAATACCATAGACCTAACCACTGTCTACTTTTTTTCTTTAATCAGAAGAATGGGTAGGAGTGGCTTTTTTCCCAAAGTCTAGAATCATGTCCAGCTGACCATAAGCCAAAAGATGTGTGAGCTGTTCCATATGCTAACTGAAAATATATCTGTTCTTCATCCTGCCTTTCTTCTCGTCCAGTCCAAAGATGCTGAATGTGGGTGAAATCCCTCAGCTCTCAGGAGACAAGTGGAGTCCCACAAGGGATCCTGTGGATATGGGCAAGGATAGAAGGGATGAAGGGGAGCTGTCAACTTTAGGTGTCTGTAGGAACCAAGTTGGTAATATAAATAAAAAGTGACAGAAAGTGGATCTAAGATGATCATTGGTCATAGCACATCCTCAGTGTGGAGGAGCATGAGGGAGGTGACAGGAAGTATGAGAATTGAAAATCCACAGTTGTGGGTCTTAATTTTTTTCTTTTTTTTTTTTTTGGTAGGACTAGGATTTGAACACTTGCAAAGCAGGCACTCTACCACTTGAGCCACACCTCCAGTCCTAGAAATCCTGATTTTTTTTTTTGGCCTCACTGGGGTTTGAACTCAGAGCTCACACTTGCTAGGCAGGTGCTCTTACTACTGTCAGCAGACATCTAGCAGTGGCACCTGCTTGGCATTAATCCTGCCTGTTCCTGTCCTATTCCCTTAACTTAGCGCCAGGAGCCATTCGAGATGGGACAGAGACTGGGCAGATAAGCAATGAAGCAGGGGAGGGCAGCATAGAGATAGCCATGGTGTTGTGATGGTTACTGGTCAGGGAAAGCTGGATCAACATGTTCTTTTCCCTCGGTTCTCCTGAAAAGCACAGTGTATGGCAGGCAGAAAGTCGCCTGACCCTTGCTTTTCTGGATACACCAAGGTGTCAAAAGGATAAGTAAGTGGACTGGTTTACTGGGTGTCTTCAAAAAGTATTTTAAAATGGAAAAAAGAAAAACATTAATCAGCTAAATGCCTAGCCTGAGAGAAACTACTTTAAATTCTCCCTGTCTGCAGCAAAGATGGTTGAAAGTTGGCTGCCAAGACCTCAACTAACTGGAAAAGGACTATCCTCACAACCTTGTAATTTTTAAAAACATAGGTTACCAAAGTCCCACTCCTCATGTGGGTGTGAGACGTGATGTTTTTCTCAGGCATTCAGACCATTTGCCCACAGCTCTTTCTTCCTTTCCTAATCTGAGTCTAAGATGTTGATGTTCTCCAACCTGATGGCAGAGAGTTGTTTGCCTGCGTAAGAAGAATAGTCGTGCCTTTGTTTCATCATTATTTGAGGTAGACTAATTTCCAAATCCGGGTCTATTAGAAATAGTGGTTGCGTGGCCTCACTCTGGGCCTTCTGACTCAGTATGTCTGGGATGAAACTGTGTGTGAGTATGAGAGAGAGAGAGAGAGTGTGTGTGTGTATGTGTGTGTATCTCTGTTTGAAGGTGAAACCCAAGGCCTCTTGCATACTAGGCAAGCACTGTACTACTGAACTGCACACCCAGCCCACTATTTCCATTTTCACAGATGAGCAAGGAGATGTGCTATGACTAATACAGTCTGCACACAAATCTGGGACTCTTTTTTTTCCTGTGGTACTGAGGTTTGAACTCAGTCTCATGATTGCTTGGCAGGCACTCTACCACTTGATCCATTCCACTAGCCCCAAAATCTGGGGCTCTTGATACTGCTTGAAGGCTGTGTGCTGCTTCTGTGGTACCTTCTCAAAATTGCAACACTTTAACCTAATGTCTAAGACCAGTTAGAAGCTGGCAGCTATCCAGTTCCTCTAGATTGGCACAGCCTTCCACCATATCCTTTCCAAGCAGTGAGAAGTAATATTTGAAGATCCATACAAAGACTGTATAAAAGGACAGCCCTGAAAGATGGGTCTTAGGGTAACATTTGTCTAAAGCAGGACTTGAACCCCGGCATGATGGCACACCTGTAATCAAGAGACAGATCAGAAAGTTCCAGGCCAGTCTGGACAAATAGCGAGACCCACTCAACCAATAAGCTGGGCCTAGTGGTATGGGCCCTGCTACACAAGAGGCACACAGGCGGGCCTGGGCAAAAACACAAAACTTTCTCCAAAAAATAAGCAAAACAATCTGGGCACCAATGGCTCACACCTATAATCCTAGCTATTCAGGCTGTAGAGATCAGGAGGATCGCAGTTCGAAGCCAGCCCAGGAAAATAGTTCATAAGACCCTATCATGAAAAAAACAAAAATCACAAAAAGAGCTGGTGGAGGGGCTCAAGGTGTAGGCCCTGAGTTCAAACCCCAGTACTGCAAAAAATAAAAAAAAGGACTGAGGGCACCACTCAAAGTGGTAGAACACCTGCCTAGTAAGTGGAGAGAGAGAAATAAAGGCATCGAATTGAGGCCAAATAGCACAGCTCCTCCTAGCAATTAATAGCACCTGAAGAAGACCAACACACCATTTCACCACAGACAGCAATGACCTTGTCTTACACAGAACTTCACTGTGGCCCAGAGAGCGTTTCTGCCAGTCCTGAGCTCTCCCCCTAGCTACCACCCCTATGTCTCGTCACCCCTACCCCCACCCCCAGCACAAATTCTGCCCTCATTCAAAGATAATAAAAACAAAAAGGAATAAACATATTCAATTGGATGTTAAATTAAAAGAATGAATTTTTTTGAGACAGGGTCCCAAGCCCAGGCTGGCTTCAAACTCCCAATCCTCCTGCCTCAGCCTCCTGAATGCTGGGATTATAGGTATGTACCACCACTCCCAAAAAGAATGAATTTTTGATGCCTCCCCCACTTGACAGCATATACAGAAATGAATTCAAGATGAATCACAGACCTAAATGTAGATGGTGAAACAATAAAACTTCTAGAAAAGAAAAAACAAATGAGAATCTCTTCAAAACTTCAGCCAAATATCTCTTAAGGAGGGCAGAAAAGGGCCAGGTGCCTGTGTCTCACGCCTATAATCCAGCTACTCAGGAGACAGAGATCAGGAGGATCACAGTTCAAAGCCAGCCTGGACAAATAGTTCATGAGACCCTACCTCAAAAATACCTAACACAAAAAGGTCTGGTGGAGTGGCTAAAGGTATAGGCCCTGAGTTCAAGCCTCAGTACCACAAAAAAAAAAGGGAGCATAAAAGGACTGGAGGTATGGCTCAAGTGGTAGAGCACGTGCTTTGCAAGCGTGAAGTCCTGAGTTCAAACCCCAGTCCCACCAAAATAAATAATTTGGTTATTTTTTTAAAGGCACAAAAAGCACTAAACATACAATTGGACTTAATAAAAATTAAGAATTTTTGTTCAATAAAGGAAACCAATAAAGGTAGTCTATAGACTGAGAGAGTATTAACAATACATACAAACAAGTACTAGAATCCAGCTATATAAGGAACTTCCACAATTCAGTAAGACAACCCAATTTTTAAAAAAGAGCAAAATACTTCAACAGACATTTCACAAAAGGAAATAGCCAAATTTAGATATGCATACCCAAAGCATAGGAAAAAGTGTTAAAAAATCATTACTCATCAGGAAAACACAACCTAAAACCACTGTGAGATACCACACCCACCAAAATGGCTAGTATTAGCTTATGTGCTGGTTACACACCTGTAATCCCAGCAGGTGGGAAGTAGAGGCAAAAGAATTGTGTGTTTGAGGCTGGCCTGAGCTCTATAGCAAGTTCAAGTCCAGCCTGGGCTATGTAGCTAGATGTTCCCAGTGGAAGTAAGTAGTGGAAGTTTTGTTTTGCTTTGGTGTTTGCTGTGGTTCTGGGGACCAAACCCAAGGCCACAAGCATGCTAGGCCAGTGCTCTACCAGAGCTGCATTCCCAGCCCAGAACTGTAAGTATTTACTAAAGCTACTCACCTGCCTATTCTATGACCCTGCAATTCAACTCCTAAGTACGTATATACCTGCTGCAGGCTGAAACCATAGGCTGACGAAGAAAGGGACAATCAAAGGCATTTCTGCACGTCTTCCAGTATTGTGCAAACATGAGACTGGAAGAATATGACTCTTGGCACACCAAGAAGCTTCTCAGCACACTGAGCACACATGAAAGCAGAATGTTCTGGTTTGTCCACTTTCTCGGAAGCTTTAGGGGAAGGGCTTTAATAAGTAACATATAAGTAGAGCAGTGTTTTTCAAATCACTTTTTGTTTTGCTCATTCGGATAAACATCCATCATTGCTATGCACTTTTGTTAACAAATAAATATGAGGAGAAACAAGGACTCGGGGCTGCAGTTTCAGAAACCCAGTTCTCTGGCTCCTAATACACTCTCATTTCTGGTGGTCTGTACTTTCCCGGCTCCGATCAGCAACATATACCCAAGAGAAATTAGTGTATGTCCACCCAAAAGCATGAACAGAAATGTTCATAGCATCTAGTCATAGTCACCAACACTGGAAACAACCCCAATGGTCACTGACAGAAGAATGGCTTTGATTCATTTTTTAAAAGAATTGATTTTTCTTTTAAGCATATAGTAGCAGGAGGAAAAAAATCACATTGCTACTTGCAGCAATCTGGGTGGATCTCACATTGTTGATCAAAAGAAGCCATACTCAAAAGTACAAATACATATAATTCCATTCATAGAAAGTTCCATGAGCTGGCAAAGCCAATCCATGGTGACATGGGTCAGAACAGCGCTTTCCTATTCTGAAGGGGCTGTTACTGTATGGAACAGAAAGAGGCGTCTGAGATGCTGGAAATGTTCTCTGCCTAGATCTGAGCAGCGGGGGCACATGTGTATGAGTACTTGTAAGAAGTTGTTCTCTTAAAAATAAATCTTTTCTGGGGGCAGGTACCTGAGGGAGGGGGGTGGCATAAGGAAAGGGGGGATGAAGGTGTATGTGGTAGATGTATTTTGTATCCATGTATGAAAATAGAATAATGACCCACCTGTTGAAATTGTTCTAAGAAGGAAGGGGAGTAAAGAGGGAGAACGATGGAGGGAGTAAATCCAACTAAGATATATTTTAAACACATATGTAAATATCACAATGTATCCCTCTGTACAACTACTATATGGTAATAAAATCATTTTTTTAAAAATTCGTTCTCTTAAAATTTCTTTACTGTAGGTCTGGGAAGTTCAGCTCAATAGAGCATGTGTTTAGAACACATGCAATCTCCAGCACCAAAATGATCAAAAATTCCCTTACTATGTATAAAGTTGTGCTTTAATTTCAAAGTAAACATATAGTTGATCATAGAGGTACACACCTGCAATCCCAGCTACATTAGAGACTGATCCAGAAGGATCACTTCAGCTCATAAGTTTGAGACCAGCCCAAGCAAAATAATGAGACCTTGTCTCACAAAACTAAATAAGATCTGGGGTGTAGTTCAGTGGTAGAGCCCTTGCCTAGCATGTGTGAGGCCCTGGTTTCCATCTCCAGCACCATAAAAATTAAAATTGAATAAATAATACTAAATGTTAAAATATTAAAGTAAATATGTAAAAAGGAACCAGCACAGGTTGTATTAAAAACTACTTCAAAAGTTTTACTAGAAGTGTCTTAGATCTTGCTTGGAATGATGATTACAAAAGTGAGCACATAAGAAAAAATTTATCAGGTTGTGCTTAATTTGAGGAATATGTTTTACAATATGTATTTTGTACATCAATATTTTAAAAAATAAGCTTTAAAAAATACTAGCAGAACAGGAATGTAGTTCAGTGGTGGAGTGCTTGCCTAGCAACACTGGGAACAATCCCCAAAATCACAAGAAAAACAATAACAAAAATACTAGAAGAAAAATAGAAATGGGGAAACAAATGAGCATACCAAAAGGAAGAAAAATATTGCCACAAGATCAAACTTTTGAGCATAAATTTCCAGATATATTGAAACCATGAAAAGAGACTTCAAAGATCAAGGAAGAAAAAGACAGTTAAAAAAAAGAAGTGAGTTGGCAGAGCATAGGGAATACCCAATAGATAAAAGCAAAACCACAGAAAGATGGCCATGTTGACAACAGTACACACTTGCTGTCAACTCTTCACTGAGGTGGCAGGTTTAGGAAATCTACTGAAATGAAAACCACTCTCTAAATTTCTAATCTAAACAGAAAGTTAATAGATAGGCTTGGTGAGTATTAACTTCTCAGCACTTGGGAAGCTGAGGCAGGAGGATCTCCAGTTCAAAGCTAGCTTGGGCTACATAGCAAGACCCTTTCTCACAAAGATGGAGGAAAAGGAGGAAAGAGAAAAAGAAGAAGGGGAAAGGGGGAGAAAGAAGAAGATTGGTGCAGTAGCAGCAGAAGATATTGGGAAGATAGCAGTTTGAGACCAACCCAGGCAAAAAGTTCACGAGACTCATTGCAACAGAAAAAGCTGGGTGTAGTGGTACACATCTGTCATCGAAGCTCTGATGGGAAGTGTAAATAGGATTTTAGTCTAGGCCAGCCAGGTAAAAAGTGAGACCCTATCTCAAAAATAACCAGAGCAGCTGGCAGAGTGGCTCAAGCAGTAAGAGCACTTGCCTAGCAAGTGTGAGGCTCTAAGTTCAAACCCCAGTGTTGCCAAAATAAATAAATAAATAACCAGAGCAAAAAGGGCTGGAGGTATGGCTCAAGCAGTAGAGCTCCTGCCTAGCAAGTGTGGAGCTCTAAGTTCAAATTCCAGTACCACCAAAAAAGAAAAAGAATGACAAACTGATGTTCCAACACAAGAAAACTTTGAAAACAGTATGCTAAGTGAAAGAAGCAGACACAAAAAGCCATCTATTATATAGTTCAATTTATATAAAATGTCAAAAATGGGTACATCCATAGATGCACAAAGTCAACTAGCGGTTACTAGGGGCTTGGGAGAAGGAAGAAAGAGGAGTGACTGCTAATTGTTACAGGGGTTTTGGAAGGGAGGAAGGATTTCTGATTTAAATAGTGGTGATGTTTGAACAATTCTGAAGACAGTAAAATCCATTGTAACGGACACTTTAAAGAGGGCAGGTTTTGTAGTGTACAGCATTATCTCAATAAAACTAATTTTTTTAAAAATCTGCCAATAATTCAACAAATGAAAGGTTTAACATCCTGTGGTATAAACCCAACATGGAATACTATGTATAGGACTAATACATATCTGGGATGTGTACATAGCTGGAGAATTATGCTGAATTTAAATAATCTGATCCTAAGTTACAGACTAAACCAAGCATGATGGCTCACATTTGTAATCCCAGCATTTGGGAGGCTGAGACAAGAGGATCTAAAGTTTGAAGCCAGTCTCAAACTCATGGGCTACATAACAAGACCTTGTATCAAAAAAAGATGAAAAAAGAGAAAGAGAAAAAGAACTTTAAAAGTTACAGACTATATGTGATACAGACTGAATGTTTATATGCCCCCAAATTGATGTTGAAATCCTACCCCCCAATGGCAGTGTAAGTCAGCCCGCACAAATAGTTAGGGAGACCCTATGTCAAAAATACCTAGCACAAAAAGGGCTGGCTGGTGGATGGCTTAAGGTGTCAGCCCTAAGTTCAAGCCCCAGTACAGCAAAATAAATAAATAAACTTGAAATTAAATGAAAAAAAAGAAATCCTACCCCCCTAAGGTGATAGTATTTGGAGATACCTGTGAGAGTTGATAAGGTCATGACAGTGGTGCCCTGGTGGTTGGGATTAGTGCCCTTACAACAAGAGGCAGGAGAAGAGAGCTGGCTTCTGCTCTCTGTCACATAAGGACATAGCAAGAAGGTGGCCATATGCAAAACAGGAAGAGGGCCCACACCAGAAATGGGCCTTGCTATCACCCTGTTCTCAGACTTCTCAGCTTCTAGAACTGTGGAAATAAATTTCTGTTTATTTAAACAGAAATAAACCCAGTTTGTGGAATTGTTATAGCAACTGAACTAAAAATAGTATGATTCTGCTACAACATTTTTGAAGTGGCAAACTTTTAGAAATAGAGAACAAAGTAGTAGCTTCAAGGAAGGGCAGCTGGCAGGAGGGAGGTGAGTGTGAACAGTGAGACAGGACATGTCCTCATGGGGATGGAAATGTTTGGTATTTTGCACGTGATGAGTATATCCAACTAAGTAAGACTGCAGAAATCTGAATAAAATCAGTGGTTTGGGTCAGTGTCAATGCTGGTTGTGATATTATAGCTTTGCAAATTAGCTCCATTGAGAGAAACTGTGTAAACTGGATCTCTTCCTTCAATTTCTTACAACTATACATGAATCTACAATAACCTCAATAACATTTTAATTTATAAAATGAGGCTTGATTTCCAAAGTGTTCCCTGTGTTTCCTCATCAGGGAGGACTTCTCATGGATGGAGAGGTAGATGTGGTAAGAGCCCATCCTCAAAGCACAAGTGAGGGAGCTAGAAGTCGGTGAATCACGATTGTAATCCTAGCTACTCAGAGGCAGAGATCAGGAAGATCGAGGTTCAAAGCCATCCCAGGCTAATAGTTCGTGAGCCCCTACCTAGAAAATACCCAACCCAAAAAAAGGGCTGGTGAAGTGCCTCAAGTGGTAGAATGCTCACCAAGAAAGCATGAGGCCCTAAGTTCAAACCCCAGAAACACCAAAAAAAAAAAAGGGGGGGAAGGAAGGAGGGAGGGAAGGAGAGAAGGAGGGAGGGAGGGAGGGAGGAAGGAAGGAAGGAACGAACAAACGAACTCCAGGGCCTCTGGCTGTGGGCATGAATGCAGGGAGAGAAAGGCGGAAGGTCTAGGAAGCCAAATAGCTTCAGACAGACAAAGATGCCAAACTCCGAATGTTCTTCCTAGGAGGAAGGAGCAGTGTTTGGCTTGGCCAAGAGGCCAGGCCTAAAAATAACCGGATAAACGCGGGCTGGTCGGGCTGACTCAGGGAGCCGGGGGTGTTCAAGGTTGACACCCTGCTGAAAACTACAGCTCCCAGAGCGTCCCGCGGCGGGCCGGAGCCCGGCGGTCATGTGATCTTGCTCACGTGTCTCCGCAGCCGGCTCAGGAATGAAGCACACTAGGTAAGTGGTAGTAGGTGGAGACGGTGGCGGGTGGGAGCGTCGTGTTCCTGGATCCCTGGAGTCCCCGACCGCGGCAGAGCTTGGCCCGCTCCTTGCAGGGGTCCGGAGCCGGTCCTTGGCTCTCGCCAGCCCTTTATTGCGCCGGCCCTGCAGCGGGTGTCCACCCTGTCCTAGGCCGGATCGATTCCCCAGCCCCTCCCCAGGTACCCAACGTAGCCCACCCGTCTCGCTTAAGGTCTGGGTATCCCCCTCCCGCCCCCTAACCCCAGCTGGGTGCGCCCTGGCCCATCTCTCAATGCAGCGGCTCCAGCCCCAAGCTGGCCTTGGGACCCGCGGGGATGAGAGCTGAGGGGCCTGCTACAATGTTACATCTATGGTCTGACACGTGGGCATCGAACTTCTAGTTCTGGCCCTACTCACTAATCTCTTTCCCTCCATGAGCCTTTTTCCCTATCTGATGTGGCGCTCCATTCTATGAGTTAGCATCAGAACTGCTCAGTACCCAACACCCCCCCCCCCGCACACACACACACACACGCAGACACTCATTCTGCTGAAGCCAGCCCAGAAACAGCACAAACTCCTCTCTGCTGACTGCAGATTTTAGGTGAAGTCTTGAGAAATAAAGTCTTGAGGCCGCAGAGGGAAGTAAGGAGAATCAGATCTCGGATCTTTGGAGAAAAGAAGCAACCCCCTGCAACTATAGCCAAGCAGATGGAAAGAGCAGGTAAGCCGCAAGCACTGCTGCATAATTGGGGGTAGGGGGACAGGAGAGAGTGAAGAAATTTTTGAAGGATGCTGTCGGAATGCGGTTAGGACCCCAGTCTGGGCTCTTGTGATGTGGCAGGAGAGGCTGGGCAGACAGCACAGGATGGGAATGGGGTGCCAAAGGGAAACCAGCTGCCTGGAGAAGCAAGAAGCCACAGGAGCTATGCAATCTTGGACAAGCCACCCAGTAGACATCTGTGTCTGTGTTGTGAGGAGGTAGAACAGGTGGTCTTGGACCTCTCTGAAGCTACACTGGAAGCAGGAGTCCCAGACTCTGTCTCCATTACTCACTGCTCTGCTTTTTGCTGAGTTGCTGGCGGGGGGGCAGATTGTGTAAGAGGAAGTCCTGTGGCAGGAGCTGATCTTTCTGAATCTGACATCAGCAGAGGGATGTTTCCCTTGAGACTGTATCCCTTGCTTTTTGTTTTTATTTTGGGGGGGGTGGCGAGTGGTACTGTAAGTGCTCTACCAGTTAAGCCACATTTCCAGTACCCTTGGTTACATGTTTGGTGATAGATGTCTGCGAACACTTGCACTTTTCCCTTTCCCTCTCATGAGGAGCAACTGGGAAGCATCCCAAGGGTCCTCCTTAGCCACTCTGGATCCCCTGTGGGCTGACACCTCAGACAGGATGGCTGTATGATGAACAGGACTTAGGTTGGCATTGTGGCTAAATTTGAGCAGTTCCCTTCTCTTCCTTATGGGCTATAAGGAGTAAGCCAGAGAGGGGACATGCAGAGAATAAAATAGAAGCTTTTCTGGGAATACCCTGGGATCAGAATGTGGGAAGGAAAAGACTAGGGAAAGAGTTTTTGGTAGATTCTACCAGCCTGGGTGATAACTAGGCAAAGGCAGCTTTTGGGGAAAGCCGCTTATGGCTCCTCACTACCCACTCAGCCCTGGGCCTTTTGGTTTTGAGGTGGGCGTGGGGTTGTGCCAACTTTGGACCTTGTACTTGCTAAGCACACACTCTACCACTAAGCTGCATCCCAGCCCAGTGCTTTTAATCTGGTCTTCATTTTGCTCTTCCTCTCATTGGCTATCCCAGTGCCTTTTGTGCCCATCATTACCTGATGACTGGCAGAAGGCCCTGGTTTGATGAATATTTGCTCTCTGGTTTCTTAGAGCTGAGGACTCTAGGCATGATGGGAGTGGACAAAATGGGAAGAGCATTTGCAGACATAACAAAAGTGATGACCGTATGGGAGGTTTGACCCTGGGGCCTCATGCATGCTAAGCATGCCCTCTGCCCCTGAGTTACAGCCAGCCTGATGACCATTTATTGAGTGCTAAACCCTTACTAATATTAACACACTACTTACAGGAATTTGCCATGTGAGGACTTGGAGGGGTGAAGTGACTTGCCAAAGGTCAGACAGCCAGGAGGCCTAGAGAGAGGTCAACATTCAGAATTCAGAGTCCAATTTAAGACCCAGAGCACAGTCCCGCCCTGCCCAGGGCTGCTCTTGATCTGGGATTGGACTTGGTTCTTTAAGATCATCACTTCTCTTGAGGGGGTCTCACTCAGGCTTCCAGCTGAAGCTTGAGAACACTGAAGGTCCGTTTTCAGGGCTGGGCTCTTCAGAGCACTTTTAAGATTCTAGAAAGAAGAAATTTCTTCCTGGTTTTCAAGAAAGGATCAAGGTCAAAGGAAAAACTGCAACTCTTGTGTTTACACAGAGAGTGAAGAGAATTAGTCAAGCCACAAGCCTGTTATCTGAGTTCAGCTGCGCCCAAGGCATCATCTTGGGCCCAGAGGGAGGCGGAGACAAACAGATGAATACTCTAGGGCAGGCCAGCCCTGTTTTGAATCCCAGCTCCACCACTGTCCACTGGATGGTACAGGGTAGGGTGCTTAATTCCTCTGTGAGTCAGTTTCCTCCTTGGTAATGGTGACAGCCCTGACTACCTGTTAGGGCTACACTAAAGACTGAATGAGACAAAGCATTCCACAGCTGCAGCAGGAGTGGATAACAGTAATGACACACAGCACATGTGTGGTCTTGGAGCCTTGTAGTCCGGCTGAGGAGAGCAAGCCTAGTGCAGTGCAGTGCTGGCATAGGAGAGAATGCTGCAAGGAAACCAGCCTGAACAGAGCTAGTAGGCTCTTGTGAGTGTCCCAGGAAATGGGGACGAGATAGGACCTGAGAGTGTGGCTGGCAAAAAGGGGCTGGAAGTATTCCAAGTACAGGATTGATCATTATTTTCCAGAGGATACAAGTGTGACAGGTATGGGGGACTTGTCACATGAAAGAAGAGTGAGAATTAGCCTGAATTTTGAAGGGCCTGGAAAGCCACATAGAATTTAGGCTGTTGCAGGGCCGCATGCTGGGGGCTGTGGTATGTCGAAACATACTATCATCATAGTTCCTGATGATAGCTCCTGTTGGACCCTGTGGTGTGGAAATAGTCTGGGAAACCAGACAGAGGTGGATCTAGATCCTGCCCTGCAGCTTGCTCCTGGGCCAGGGCATTGATCTCTCTTTGATCACAATGCTGTCATAGGATTGAAGTAGATAAGATACGCACCTGCTCAGTGGGGGCCTCTCTAGTGCTGAAGTGTTGGTATCCCTTTCTTTTATGTTTAGGTCTTCTTTACGCTGTGGGTCTGTAAGGCAGAAACAAGCAAGATTTGCATCGGACGTAGTTCTATGTCTGCCATCCTACATTGTGGCATCCAATGCAGTGTTTTGCACAGAGTTTGAATCTGTGCCATGTGATCTTGGAAAAGTTGTTTCCCCTTTCTGTGCCCCTGCCTCTCCATCTCATTTTTGTCCATGTAGGTTGACAAGAGTCCTCATAAGATAACAGCTGAGAACAGGCAGGTATTCCCTCAGCTACCCTGGGGATGTGGTTGTGAGGCAGAACCCACAGCTCTTACAGGAAGAGGACCCTCGAGGCCATGGCCCAAGTCAGCATCAACAATGACTACAGTGAGTGGGGTTCCAGCACTGATGCTGGAGAGCGGGCCCGCCTGCTGCAGAGTCCCTGTGTGGACACAGCCCCCAAGAGTGAGGGCGAGGCCTCTCTCGGGGTTCCTGACAGAGGCACCACTTCCACGCTTGGAGCCATCTTCATCGTCGTCAATGCATGCCTGGGTGCAGGGCTGCTCAACTTCCCAGCAGCCTTCAGCACTGCCGGAGGTGTGGCAGCTGGCATCACGCTGCAGATGGTGAGTGCATAGCTGGTGGCAGAGATGCAGTGTGAGTGGGTTCTTTGCTTCACTGGAGGGGCTTTAATCCACTTAGTTAATTTTTTGTTAGTATTGGAGTTTGAACTCGGCCTTGTGCTTGCGAGACAGGTGCTCTACCACTTGAGCCATGTCCCCAGCCCCACTAGTATCAGGTATCAGGGATGATTGGCAGGGGATACACACTACCATTCTTCCCTCCCTTACACATGGCAGATATTACCAATCTATTCCAGCAGTCCGTACTCTGAGCCCGGCTCAGGTTTCAAAAGTCAATTTGGACATCAACTGCATATTTAGCTTTGTAGGTATTACATTTATTTTGTGGTTATAATACAAAAGAGTACAACTTCTGAAATATTTACTGGTGAAGTGACAAGATAGCTTGTATTGTCTTCATAGTGGGAAAAGGAATCAGATAAAATATGATTGGCCATGAATTGGTTATTTTTGAAGCTGAGTGGGTTCTTGGGGTCCATTATACTATTATATCTACTTTGATATGTTTGAAATTTTTCAGGAAATGTTTTATTTTTAAGGAAAAATCTCAACTTGGCAACCATTAGAAGTCTGTTAAAATTGCCTCGCAAGTTAAGAACCATTTGCCAAACCCACTTTGGGCATTGGCCCAGTAAATGCTTCATGAGCCCAGGATACCCCTGGCTGCCAGCCTTTCCCACACCCTCCTGTTCTGTCCCTGCCTGCAGGGCATGCTGGTTTTCATCATCAGCGGTCTTGTCATCCTGGCCTACTGCTCCCAGGCCAGCAACGAGAGGACCTACCAGGAGGTGGTGTGGGCTGTGTGCGGCAAGCTGACAGGCGTGCTGTGCGAGGTGGCCATTGCCATCTATACCTTCGGCACCTGCATCGCCTTCCTCATCATCATTGGAGACCAGCAGGACAAGAGTGAGGTCCTCCCCAAACTGCCTCCCTTATCTCTCCCCTGTGATCCTGGGGTCCCAGGGTGGAGAGAAAGTGTGCTGTACCCCTGCCAGACCTTGCCTGGTTTCGCACTTATCTGGAAGTCTTCCCTCCAGGTCTCATTAGAGGGGCCCAGCACACCCTCTGATGGCCTCCTTCCTCCCTGTTCAGTTATAGCTGTGATGGCAAAGGAGCCTGAGGGAACCAATGGTGGCCCCTGGTACACAGACCGCAAGTTCACCATCAGCCTCACTGCCTTCCTCTTCATCCTGCCCCTCTCCATCCCCAGGGAGATTGGCTTCCAGAAATATGCCAGGTTCGGAGGCCCCACCCTAGCCTGGGTGGGACAGAGCTCTGATCAGAGACTGCTGGGGAGCAAGACTGGGCAAAGCAGAGCAGACTGAGACTTGTAGGATTTCAGGCCCAAGACCTTCCTTTTCTGTCACTGTTAAGGGTGACAACAACCCTTTGCGTCAGTGAGAGATTTAGTTCTTGTGAAAGAAGGTGATGGCAGGGAGGGTGAGAGCAGCCTGCTGCCTGGGCCAGGCTTTCCCTGGAAGCATGGGCTTCGGGATCATTTGAGGTGTCATCCTGGAAATAGCTTCCATGCAGCTCAGTGTGAAGGGAGGACTGGCTTCCTGGTTCAGTATCTGAAAAGTATCTGTGAGGGTCTAGGCTGTTTCCCAGTCTCTAAACAAAAGGGTCACACTCAGCTGTCTCCATGGCCCCTTAATGTTGACATTCCTGTATCTGTACTCTCAGGCTTCACCTGTGGGACCTCCTGGTTCTCAAGGTCGGGCCTAGAGGATGGCCTCCTGGCAGCCTGTGCCAAGTCCAGACTGCTCAGATAGAAGTTACAGCAGTGCTTTAGAGGCCAGTTCTCCACTGTGGTCTCTGAGCCATGAGCTGAGCCAGCACATGTCCCAGTGGCCAGAAATGCTGATAAGTTCCTACTGGCTATCTAACTCCCTCCTAGCTGCGGCATGTCTCTCTGAAACTTGTTTCTTAGTCATTTCCTGAGTCTTTGCTTGACATAGTTTGATCCTTAGAGTAGACGGTGGATATGCCTGGGGATGGTATCAGACAAGGGGCAGGCAGCACTGGGGAGGAACTCAGTCTTTCCTTCCTGGCAGCTTCCTGAGCGTCGTGGGCACCTGGTATGTCACTGCCATCATTATTATCAAATACATCTGGCCAGATAAAGAAATGACCTCAGGGGACATCTTGACCAGGTGAGAGAGGGTCCCTGGGAAGCAATGGGGTAGAAGCTGCCACCTGGGCCCTAGTTGGTGCTAGGTCAGGCATCCAAAGGCCACACAGGGGCACTTCCTGAGGCTTATTAGCTCATCAGGACTGACTGATCCACCATTGTAGGAGTGAAGAGAGAGGTCCTGCTCTTTTTTTACCAGAAAGAAAGTGAGAGCCAGAGGCATGAGGTGACTCTGCAACCAACATCCAACAGATCTACCAATGCTAGATGAGGCTGGAGAGACTGCCAGGGCAGAATTGCACATTTTCCCAACTGTGCTTATCGATCAGTTCTATATTTTCTCTACAAGGATGAATCTGTTTGTCATTTTTTTTCTCCAAAGTTTCTTTTTCTTTCTTTCTTTCTTTTTTTAAATGAACAAACCAGAAAAGCAAATCCTCAGTCCAGGAACCAGAAATTCTAGATTTGGGTCCTAGGAGGGCCTTAAAGAGCCTCAGTTTACTGAACTCTCTTGTTCCTAGATTTATGTGTGTTTGATGTGTAGAATGTTGGTTGCTGGAGGCCACGGGATGAATGAAGAGTAAGGGTTGTGGGAAATGACTCTGGCAGCTCTGAGGGGTTCACAGGTAACTATTCATTGTTTGTCTTCAGGCCAGCTTCCTGGGTTGCTGTGTTCAATGCCATGCCTACCATCTGCTTTGGATTTCAGGTGCTACCTACAAGGTTCCCTTAGCTCACCCCTCACCCTGGGATGGAACCCACATTACAAGGAGGATGGGGGAAATTCTGGGAGAAGGGATAAAGCAGGGGCCTCAGGACTTGCCTCTTGTCCCCGAGGCGTTTGTCCCCAAGGTACCACCTTCTGCACCCTGGGGGTAAAGTCACTTCACCACATGACCATGTCTTTTACCTGGACAGTGCCATGTGAGCAGTGTGCCCGTCTTCAACAGCATGCGGCAGCCTGAGGTGAAGACCTGGGGCGGGGTAGTGACAGCTGCCATGGTCATAGCCCTGGCTGTCTACATGGGCACAGGTGAATGCTCTCCTTCAGGCTCTGGGTGACTTGGACTCAAGGCCTCTAGCCAACCTTTCCTAGGGATAGCCCTGTACTTCCAGCCTAATAAACACTTTTGTAGACATTGACTTGAATCTGGGATGCCTGGGGAAGTTCATCTATTCATTCAATGTTCTAAATAGTGTCAGGAGGTGTTGAGGGGGCACATGGAGAAGGGTGGTCCTGGTCCTGAGCCCAGGGGCTTGACAGTCTCATTGAAGAGACAGTGGGAGAGAGTGAATAAGGAATCACTAAGGGATTCCAAACAGTGGCTGGTGCTGTTACGACGGTGATACTGGGGAGGGGTAAACAGGACAGTGTAGAGGTGGCCTTCACAAAAGCTCCTCTCTGAAGAGGTGCCATTTGGGGAGGCCCAAATGATGAGAATGTTCCAGAGTATAAAGAGCTGGGGAAGAATGTTCCAGACTAAGAAACTGCAGAATGCCAAGTCCCTAAGGCAGGGACATCCCTGAGGAAGTCTGCATAGCTAGAGTACAGGGATTGGGGCAGTAAGGCCAGGCAGTAATGGGGAAGGTGTCTGAGAGGAAGTGTTGCATGCAGGGGAGTGGCTGGGGAAAGAAGGCTCTGCTTGCTTCATGGATGGTTTGGGCTAGGATGGGACTGGGAGGCTGGAAAGAAGGGCCCAGAGATCTGAAGCCACAGACTAGAACAGAAAAGGGAAACAGGCCAACTCTCTGTTCTCTTGGGACTCATGTTCTAGCTGAGAAGACAGACAGTTCAGACAGATGAGTATTCTGAAGAAAATAGAGGACTGGAGGTGTGGCTCAAGTGGTAGAGCACCTTCATTGCAAGTTGAAAGCCCTAAGTTCAAACCCCATTTCCACCAAGAAAAAAAAATATACCAATTGGTCATAAAGGAATTTAGCCAGGCTCTGGTTGCTCATGCCTATCTCAAAAATACCCAACACAAAAAAGGCTGGCAGAGTGGCAACAGTGCCTGGGGCTGGGGGTAATTGTAGATTGGCGGGATGGGGGCTTTCAGTCTTCTTTGAAGATAGGACATCTGATCTGAGACCTGATTAATGAGATGGCAGCATGAAGATCTGAGCAGACAGAATAATCAGTGCAGAAGTCAGGAATATGCTGGGCAAGTTCAAGTTCAGAAGGGTGGCAGTGTGGGGGAGGAGGGACTCTAGCAAGGGGGGATCTGGGAGATGTCTGCTCCCAGCTCAGCTACCCCTAAGGTGAGGCTCAGTCGAAGCCTCTGAGCTGGTCCAGCACCTGCCCTCCCTTGCTGACATTGTACCTAGCAGGAAGTGGCTGGTCCACCCCTCACCCTGACCTAGCCCCCTTGTCCTTGCCCACAGGCATCTGTGGCTTCCTGACCTTTGGAGCTGCTGTGGACCCAGATGTACTCCTGTCCTACCCCTCAGAGGACATGGCGGTAGCTGTTGCCCGAGCCTTCATCATCCTGAGCGTGCTTACCTCCTACCCCATCCTGCACTTCTGTGGGCGGTGAGCCCCCTCCCCACTCTGCTTGAGCCCTTGGCCTTGTGTAAGCCCATTCTGTGGAAGGAGAAACTGAAGCCTGTAGGAAAAAGACTGTGCCTAGGATGACCCTCCAAAACAGTCTTGGAGTACCTTTTGTCCCAGGGTCACCAGACCATTCTGTGAGTCCTGCAAGAATCTCCAGTCCAGATCCTTCCCTGAGCTTTTACCCGGACACCCATCCTTTTAGATAACCCCAAATGGTTACTTTTTTTTTTTTGACGGTTACTTTGAAGGAGAATATTGTCCATCTCCACATGGTGAGACAAAGCCCATCACATTCACCATCTCTTCCAGTTCACGGCTGGAAGGCCCATGAACATGTGGGAGGCCCATGTTACAGAAGAGGACATGGGCTCAGGGTCACGGCCCTACCCGCAATCTGCCCAGTTCAGGGTCTGGCTCCTGTCTGCTAGAGGTGGGGGGCATTAGCAGGGGCGCCCCTGAGTTCCTCTTCATGTGGGCAGGGCGGTGGTCGAAGGCCTGTGGCTGCGCTACCAGGGGACGCCGGTGGAGGAGGACGTTGGGCGGGAGCGGCGTCGGCGTGTGCTGCAGACACTGACATGGTTCCTGCTCACCCTGCTGCTGGCGCTCTTCATCCCTGACATTGGCAAGGTCATCTCTGTCATCGGAGGCCTGGCTGCCTGCTTCATCTTCGTCTTTCCAGGTGTGGACTGTTTCAGCTCTTTTGCATGACCTCCCTCAGTTTCCCACTAACTCAAAACCCACTGGGGAAAGTAAGCTCAGCCTGTCCTACTCACCCATCAATGCTGTCAGAGCATTGACTCCTGAGGAAAGGTAGGATCTTCCCTTCTCTAGGAGATATGAGGCTCAGGTAGTACAGACTTGCCCAGAAGTTAACAAACTCAACTATTAAGTATCACACCTTTTCAAACTCATTGGCTTGGGGTCAGAGCCTGTATTTTTACCCTTCATTCAAGTTTGTGTTCCTCCTTGACTCTCTGGGATGTGTCTGTCTGGTTTCACCCAGAACAGCCCAGAAGGAAAGGAGCCAAGGGGTGGTACTCTGATGCCAAATCAGGAGACCTAAATTCTAGACACAGGTCAGCCTGTATCTTCCTGGGAAACTCCTTTCTGCCTGGCCATGAGTACCATCTGTGTCCACTTGTTTCTATGCAAGGGGGTCTCCTTGAAAGCCCTTCCCCCTGGGCTTGGAGCAAGGGAGCCATGTCTGCTTAGGAGTCCATGGGGAGGGACCCTGCAGTGTGAGCTACCACTGAGTCACTATTCAGTGCTGTCCCTTCAGTTGTGTCCTGTGTGCAGCCTAAGGGGAGCTTGCCAGGTGCTGGGAAGTTCTGGGAGAGCAGAAGCCAGGCCACCAGCTGGGTGTGGAGTGGGGGGTAGAGGTGGAATCTCTAGAGGAGTAAACAGGCCTTTCTCCACCACTGCCACTGCTTCCCAGCTAAGGGGGAGGCCAGGCTGAGGAAGGGAACCAGCCCCTTCCCCCTCCAAACTCAGAGCCACCTTTTCTATTCCAGGGTTGTGCCTCATTCAAGCCAAACTATCAGAAATGGAGGAGGTCAAGCCAGCCAGGTAAAATAGGGCCAGTCCTAGGGCTTCTTGGTGAAGTACGGTTGGGAGAACAGGGAAGAGCCTTTAATATGTACAGTCAAGAGACCAACCCAGACCAGCTGTAACAATTCAAATACTACTGAAGGACTTTAGAAAAAAGTGGGAATCTCTCTTCTCCCATAGCCCACTCCTACCATGCTCCTCCCTTGGGTAGTTCTGTGTTATCCCAATGGTCTGTGCCCTTCTACACTTGTCTTGCATGTATATGTATCTGAGTACACAAAACTATTCAGTATACACAGGCACAGAGGCTTTGTATAGTTTTTTTGTTGTTGTTATTTCTGATATAGGGAATCAATATATAGCCCATGGTAGCCTTGAACTTGAAATCTTTCTGCCTTAACCTCCCAAGGGCTGAGATTATATGCATATACCACCATGCCAGGCTTATTGTATATAGTTCTGTTTTATCAAAAATGGTTTCATGGCCAAACATGGTGCTGAATACCTGTAATCCCAGAAATAAGGAAGCTGAGGCAGGTGGATTACAAGTTCAAGGCCAGCCTAGTTTACATAGTGACATCCTCTTGCTCAAAAAAAGTTTGTGCCAGACACACTTTTCTGCCTGTTTGGGTTTTTTTCACTTAATCACACCTTGGAGATCTGCTGCTGCCTTTTTTTTTTTTTTTGAAAGGGTCTTGTGTAGTCCAGGCTGGCCTCAAACTGGATCCTCCTGCCTCAGCCTCCCTAGTGCTGGAGTGTGTATTTGCATGTCTAGCCCTTCCTTTTTTTTAATGGCTTTGAGAGCATGTTGTGAGTACTCACACATCTTGGCACATCTGTTCAGTGGTTTGGGTAGAATCAGTTCTTGGAAGGAAATTGGCTCATGGGGATGTTTATTTTACTTTGGTACATGGGTTCAAATTGCCCTACACTGGCAGTGCAGAGTCCCAGCAACAGGGAATGGCAGTACCTTTGTCTCCATTGCCAGTGCTGCACATATGTTAGGTTAGACTTGTGACTGAAAAATATCATCTTGCTTTAATATACATAGTTCCCTGTGTAGTGGAGAGGTTAAACAAAGGTTGCATGTTTTAAGAAAAATTATTCCAGCACTAGGGAGGTAGCTCAGTGGTGGAGTGCATGCTTACCTAGCATGCCTAAAGCCCTGGGTTTCAACCCCAGCACTGCAAAAAGAAAAAAGAAAAATTACACCATAATAATACTTGTATCCCAGCACTTAGGAGGCTGAGGCAGTAGAATCAGGAGTTCAGTGCTGACTTGGGCTACAAAACCCGTCTCAAAAACAAAAACAGAGGCTAGCGATGTGGCTTAAGCTGTAAAGCGCCTGCCTAGCAATTGGGAAGCCCTGAGTTCAAACTTCAGTGCTGCCAAAAAATAAAAATGGGCTGGAGATGCGGCTCAAATGGTAAAGCACCTGCCCAATAGGTGCAAGGGCCTGAGTTCAAATACCAGAACTGGGGGGGTGGGGGGATGACAGACTTATTCATTATAAAGCTTAAAAACACAGACACGTCTAAAGAAGAAAATGAACCTCACCCTTCATCTTAATACCAAGTGATAACCCTGTTTCTGTTTCTTGCTGTTTGTTTGTTTGTTTGTTTTTTTGGTGGCACTGGGGTTTGAACTCAAGGCCTCCCTCTTGCTAAGCAGGCATTCTTATCGCTTGACCCACTCCCATCAGCCCTTTTTTGTTTTTTTTGTTTGTTTGTTTGTTTGTTTATTATTCATATGTGCATACAAGGCTTGGGTCATTTCTCCCCCCGCCCCCACCCCTTCCCTTACCACCCACTCCGCCCCCTCCCTCTCCCCCCCACCCCCTCAATACCCAGCAGAAACTATTTTGCCCTTATTTCTAATTTTGTTGTAGAGAGAGTATAAGCCATAATAGGAAGGAACAAGGGTTTTTGCTGGTTGAGATAAGGATAGCTATACAGGGAGTTGACTTACATTAATTTCCTGTGCGTGAGTGTTACCTTCTAGGTTAATTCTTTTTGATCTAACCTTTTCTCTAGTTCCTGGTCCCCTTTTCCTATTGGCCTCAGTTGCTTTTAAAGTATCTGCTTTAGTTTCTCTGCGTTAAGGGCAACAAATGCTAACTAATTTTTTAGGTGTCTACCTATCCTCACACCTCCCTTGTGTGCTCTCGCTTTTATCATGTGCTCAAAGTCCAATCCCCTTGTTGTGTTTGCCCTTGATCTAATGTCCACATATGAGGGAAAACACGATTTTTGGTCTTTTGGGCCAGGCTAACCTCACTCAGAATGATGTTCTCCAATTCCATCCATTTACCTGCGAATGATAACATTTCGTTCTTCTTCATGGCTGCATAAAATTCCATTGTGTATAGATACCACATTTTCTTAATCCATTCGTCAGTAGTGGGGCATCTTGGCTGTTTCCATAACTTGGCTATTGTGAATAGTGCTGCAATAAACATGGGTGTGCAGGTGCCTCTGGAGTAACCTGTGTCACAGTCTTTTGGGTATATCCCCAAGAGTGGGATTGCTGGATCAAATGGTAGATCAATGTCTAGCTTTTTAAGTAGCCTCCAAATTTTTTTCCAGAGTGGTTGTACTAGTTTACATTCCCACCAACAGTGTAAGAGGGTTCCTTTTTTCCCCGCATCCTCGCCAACACCTGTTGGTGGTGGTGTTGCTAATGATGGCTATTCTAACAGGGGTGAGGTGGAATCTTAGTGTGGTTTTAATTTGCATTTCCTTTATTGCTAGAGATGGTGAGCATTTTTTCATGTGTGTTTTGGCCATTTGAATTTCTTCTTTTGAGAAAGTTCTGTTTAGTTCACTTGCCCATTTCTTTATTGGTTCATTAGTTTTGGGAGAATTTAGTTTTTTAAGTTCCCTATATATTCTGGTTATCAGTCCTTTGTCTGATGGGTAGCTGGCAAATATTTTCTCCCACTCTGTGGGTGTTCTCTTCAGTTTAGAGACCATTTCTTTTGATGAACAGAAGCTTTTTAGTTTTATGAGGTCCCATTTATCTATGCTATCTCTTAGTTGCTGTGCTGCTGGGGTTTCGTTGAGAAAGTTCTTACCTATACCTACTAACTCCAGAGTAGTTCCTACTCTTTCCTGTATCAGCTTTAGAGTTTGTGGACTGATATTAAGATCCTTGATCCATTTTGAGTTAATCTTGGTATAGGGTGAAATACATGGATCTAGTTTCAGTTTTTTGCAGACTGCTAACCAGTTTTCCCAGCAGTTTTTGTTGAAGAGGCTGCTATTTCTCCATCGTATATTTTTAGCTCCTTTGTCAAAGACAAGTTGGTTATAGTTGTGTGGCTTCATATCTGGGTCCTCTGTTCTGTTCCACTGGTCTTCATGTCTGTTTTTGTGCCAGTACCATGCTGTTTTTATTGTTATTGCTTTGTAATATAGTTTGAAGTCAGGTATCGTGATACCTCCTGCATTGTTCTTTTGACTGAGTATTGCCTTGGCTATTCGTGGCTTCCTGTGTTTCCATATAAATTTCACGGTAGATTTTCGATCTCTTTAATGAATGTCATTGGAATTTTGATGGGAATTGCATTAAACATGTAGATTACTTTTGGGAGTATCAACATTTTTACTATGTTGATTCTACCAATCCATGAGCATGGGAGATCTCTCCACTTTCTATAGTCTTCCTCAATCTCTTTCTTCAGAAGTGTATAGTTTTCCTTGTAGAGGTCATTCACATCTTTTGTTAGGTTTACACCTAGGTATTTGATTTTTTTTGAGGCTACTGTAAATGGAATTGTTTTCATACATTCTTTTTCAGTTTGCTCATTGTTAGTGTATAGAAATGCTAATGATTTTTCTATGTTGATTTTATATCCTACCTTGCTATAGCTATTGATGATGTCTAGAAGCTTCTGAGTAGAGTTTTTGGTCTTTAAGGTATAGAATCATGTCGTCTGCAAATAGGGATGTTTTGACAGTTTCTTTACCTATTTGTATTCCTTTTATTCCTTCTTCTGGCCTAATTGCTCTGCCATCAGCCATTTTTTGTGAAGGGGTTTTTCGACATAGGTTCTTGCAAACTACTTGCCCAGACTGGCTTTAAACCATGGTCCTCCTGATCTCTGCCTCCTGAGTAGCTAGGATTACAACATGAGCCACCAGCGCTGACCCTGTTTCTGCTTTTGATGCTCGTAATTGCAGGTATCTCTGCTTTTTATTTCTTTTTAAATGAAATGGATCATATTCCATATGACCTGCTTTTTCCTGAACATCTTCCCATTCAAAGACCTGTATTCTAACTTTGGTCCTGTCCTTATCATGCCATGATCAATCAATCCCATTAGGTCTTGGTCTCCTTACCTTTAGACTAGGGAAAATACCCCGGGCCCCACATACCTTTTTACGGAAAAATCCTTAAGAACTCAGAAATGTTCTACCAATAGATGTGGTATAACCAGTTTTGATACTTAGCTGATATATAAGTCTACAGAGTCCTGAATAGGATGACTGATCAGGCTCCTCTTATCCTCTGCTCTATAGCTGGTGGGCATTGGTCAGTTACGGAGTCCTCTTGGTCACCCTGGGAGCCTTCATCTTCGGCCAGACCACAGCCAACGCCATTTTTGTGGATCTCTTGGCATAACCACTGCCTCCCAGGAAACACACAACCTTGGCCCTTGGACCCAGAAGCCTATCTCTCAGAGCTGTGGGGCCACCCCAAGTACATCATTCCAGCTGGTGGAATGGCAACTGGACATCCTTTTCCAGAGACAGTTCTGGGGCGGAATCCACCCATATTTGTGGACAGTTCAATCCCAGCGTCGTTCCTCCTCTTCAGCCCCAGCAGTGCATGGATGGTGGCAAGAGTCTCATGTCACAGAGAGTTTCTCCCCTCACACCTCTCAACTTCTCCATGCCTGATTCCATGGATGGAGAGGGTCAATGGGTCTTGGAAGGACCCCATTCTTACTTTCCTCTGGAGAAAGACTGGGCAAAAGGCCGGCATCCTCCCCAGAGCAGCCTGCCTTTGTAAGGACTGTGCTCAGTACCCCAGGACTCAGCACCTGCTCCTGTCCATCAGCAGCTATGGCCAGTGATGGCCTCTCCTGCAATCTGTCAACTTCCAAAGGTGTCACTCAAGTTATACAAATGCACAGAGACAGGTAGATGCAGACCCTGTCCACTCCCCACTGGGCCCCCAGCAAGCCTGATAGCTTTTCTCCCATGGCTAATTGACATTGCCCAAGTCTTTAAGGGCCTCATCCTGACTCTTTCGCCAAACCTGATGGTCCAGGTGGGCATCCCTCCTCCATACCCCCAGACATCACAAAGTCTAATGTTTACAAATGGTGCCACCCTGGCTCAGAAACCAGGGGCTGCCTGTGCCACGGTGCTGTGTACTCCTCTGTTTGCTTTCCCCAAGGCTGAGGGATCTGTTTTTTCTCTCAGATTCCAGATGGACTTCTCTGTTCAGAGGCTCATAGTGGGTGATGAAGGATGCTGGGAACCTTTTAGATCCTCCATGTGGGCTGGGCTGGCTAGAATCCAGGTGAAGCTCTGACACCATCTTTCTCAGTGATTGTTTCACTTCTCCCTGACCCTCCTCTTCCCTCTCCCCAGTCAACATAGCCTGAGTACCCAGAGAGGAAAAAGGACAGCTGGGACCTGGAAGTTTCTCCTATCTGGATCTTGCTCCCTCCTCCCCCCCCTTACCTCATCTCTGTGTAGCACAATCTCTCCCATTCATCCATGTTTTTTGTTTTGTTATTTGGGGGAGAGGTGCCAAACTCTCTCTTTTCATCTTCCCAGCTCCACACATCCATCAGCCCTGGCTTATCAATCCCACTGAGTTCACACCTAGATTGTTGCTCCCAGAAGATTGAGAAGGAAGGATATTCTTCTCCCCCTCTCTATTCCTGCTTAGGCTACCTTGGTCCCCTTCTCCCCTACACCTCCACTCACTTTGGTAAGTCTCAGGTGCAGAATCTGCTTCCTCCAGGATCCCCCAGCATTTCCTTGGTCATGCCTGCCTAAAATCTGTATCCGAGCAGTAAAAGGGACCCCCTATCCAGCAGCCCCTACTCAGGACTGTCTGAGCTAGGAAGCTTAGGCTGGGTAGAGACCAGTGAGGCTTCTGGAGGAGTTGCCTCTTATAGCCCTTCCTGGTGCCCATTCTTCCTAGACCCCAGGGCCAACCCTCATTGCTGAATTCTTACAGCCTCCTTCCCAGCACCAGGCCCTGCCAAGGCCAGGAGGACAGCCTGATCAGCAGAGCTGTACTGCCTCGAAAGGCTGTGTTTTGGGGACCAGAGCACATAAGGCAGGAGCACTACACAAAGACAGGCCAGCCAAGAAATGGGGCCAGGACCTCCTCTCCAGGCCTGACCTCAAGAACCTATTCCTACTCTCCTCCCCTCCTACCTCGTTGTCAGCAGTTTCATTTCTACTCAGCCACACTCAGAGAAGGGAGGAAGGCTAATAAGTGGGGCTTGGGGCTGGTCAAGTTACTGAAGTGGTAGAGTGCCTGCCTAGCAAACATGAAGCCCTGGGTTTAAACCTCAGTACCACCAAATAAATAAAGGGGCTTGTGCTGCTGAGCTATGTCTGATGCTGGAGATAGTCTGGGCCACACACAGGAGGAAGAGGGGCTGCAGTGGGAAGTATAGGTAGCACTTGACCATCTGTAACCTTATCCCAGGAATGGTACCACCATGCTCCCTTACCAAGCAGGAACCTATGAGGGGCTCTGGACACCTCCCTTTTCTTCCACATCCCTAAGTCCTTGCCCACTGAGTGGGGAGTATCTCTCCAGTCCTGCCACTTCCACCTTGACTTAAACCCTGCACCCTTGTGACCTCAGACTAGCCTAAGTGCTGCAATGTCCCTCCCAGACCTCCAATCTTGGGGTGAGCTTCAGATTCCAACATCTACCCCATCTTTTCAGAGGTATGTGTTAAGCAGGCCCTGCTGTCCTGGTTACAGAGCCAGTCAGGCACAGTGCTCAGTGCTGGCACAAAGATATCAGCAGAATGGGGTCCAACTCTGCTCCCAGGCAAGCTGGGGAGACTGAGGCTGCAGTAAATCACATCATCTAGTACTTAACTTGCAAGGTGTGATCAACCCTGAGAGGGGAAAATAGTGTTCTCTTTGGGGCTGTGTTTAATTTCCATCATGAGACAAAATACCTGAGGTAGTCAACTTAAAAGGAGAGACTTGTTTCTACTCAGGATTTCAGTGTGTGGTTGCTTGGTCCTTTGCTTTGGACCTGTGGCAACACAGTACACTGTGGTAGATGCATGTGACTAAGGAGGCCTCCTTACCTCATGGTGGCTGAGAAGCAAAGAGAGAGACAGGAAGGAGGTTGTCTAATCCCAGCACTTAGAAGGTTGAGGCAGGAAGATTGTGAGTTTGAGACTAGCCTAGGCTACATAGTGAAGCAATCGCTCTCTCGCTCTCGCGCTCTCTCTCTCTCGCGCTCTCTCTCTCTCTCTCATACACACACACAGATTGAGAGAAGGAGCCAACATTCCTATCCCCTTCAAGGTCATGCGCCCAATGACCTAATTTCCTCCTACTAGGCCTTACTTCTTAAAGGCTTCGTCATCTTAAGCATTACAGGCTGGGGACCAAGCTTTTAATATATGAGCCTTTGGGCGACATTCCAGATCCAAAATACAGCAAGTCTTAGAGCTTGTCTGGAGAGTCCACAAAGGGTTCCTGGAGGAGGTGACACTGGAGCCTGCCTCTGAGTGTTGTGTAAGAATTAACTAAGTAAAAAGAGGTGGGGAAAACCTTTCCAGGTAATTGGAAGGCCCTGAGGTGAGAGGAATATGGCTTGAACTAAAAAATAGCCAGTGGGTGTGGGACAGCAGCAGAGGTGAGACTGAAGAGTTCCCGGGCCCATCTTTTTGTGTATGTGGTGCTGGGGTTTGAACTCAGGGCCTCCATCAGCCCTTTTTTGTGATGGGTGTTTTCAAGATAGGGTCTTGAGAACTATGTGCCCGGGCTGGCTTCAAACTATGATCCTCCTGATCCCAGCCTCCTGAGTAGCTAGGATTACAGGCATGGGCCACTGCATTCAGCATGGGTCCATTTTCTGTAGCTCCCTTTCAGGGTCAAGTCTTACCATCTCACCTACTGCCACACTCCACCTCACTGTGCCAGTCACAGTCAAATGAGGGGTGACTGACTCTCCAAAGGGTGAGCCCTTTAGACAGGCTGGAGGGGTAGAATAGTTTTGGGCTTTGGTTCTCACCTGACTAGGGGGATAGCTAGAGGTTGGGTTTCACTTTCTCCCTGTGAACAAAGGGAAGAAAAGGTTACATCAATGCCACTAGAATCCACCCATCCATAATGCATACTCCACATCCCCCATCTTAATGCACCTCACACTTCAAACGCTTGATCAACGTCTGTCTCCCTTTAAGCTATAAGGTCAGTGGGAGCGGGGCTGTGTCTTCTATTCCCAACACTTACTGCATCATCCTTGTGTGCTCATCACAACTCTGCAGAAGTCAAGGATAAGGGAGGGTAAATAGTTTGCTGGTGGTCATACAAGAGTGGAGCCACACAGCACCATATATGAAGAAACAAGTGAACAAGGGTCACTCAACCAGCTCAATGACCTCTGACCCCAGAGGGCAGGTCTAGGATCCTACAACCCCCACTGTGGCACCAGCATCAGATCTCAAGAGTCCTTAGATCCTCAGCCAATCCACATCAAATTATTGGGGGTCCTTGCTGGCTAGTGGCTCTAGGCAAATGACTTCATCTCTCCAGAACTCTGTTTCTCTGATGTCCATTTGCATTACTTACAGAGCAAAAGGGAGCCAATATAAAGAAAATATTTGGAAAGTAACAAGTGCTTTATAACTGAGGGCCACATTTCTTGGTTTCTTCTCAGGAGGACACATGCTAAGGCATTCCCACTACCTCCTAGGAGTCAAAGTGCTTTCAACTTTAGGGTGCACACACATCACAAGTCTCCTGGTGGGCCCTTAGTTTACAAATTCTGATTCCATGGATCAGTGGAAGCGAGGGGGGGCCTCGAGGTCCCTACAGCTCGCTCTCCAGCAAGGCCAATGCTGCCTTCCTTGGCAACACTGAGTAGCAGGAGCCTGCAGTTGACAGAGCAAAGTCTTTGTCCTCACAGACTTGGGTCGAGTCCCAAAGGTGCCTGTGAAAATTCAAGGAGTTGATTCACTTCTCTGAGCCTCCTTTTTGTTGTAGTCAGTGATGGTGGTGATGCTGGTTTTTGGGTTTTTGAGCTGGTCTCACTGTGTAGACCAGGCTGGCCTTGAACTTGCCATCCTCCTGCCTCAGCCTCCTGAGTGCTGGGATTACAGGCAAATGTCATCATGCCCAGCTTTGATGATGCCCATGTTGTAAGTGCAGTTATACATCCAGGCATAATAATACATGTGGAGATAGTTCCTGGCTGTTAGCAGGGACTGTTAATCATTTCGTCTAGAAGGCATGCAACAGCAATGTTTTCTTTGGCGGATAGAGGTCGCCGTTACTTAATTTCTGCTCATGGAGGTGGAACACCTAGGGACTCAGAAAACTCCAGGCTTCTGAGTCACTAAGGCTTTGGAGACTTGGCTGCTGCCTGGTACATCTGAGCGACATCCTTGTACTAAGGTAGGGCCATTTCTCAGTCATGGTCTCTAGTCCAGTGTGAAACAGATTTCCACACCATAGAAACTACTGGTGACAGGTATAGGTAGGTTTTCTCAGTTTCTTCTCAGGAGAACACAGACCTCTGTGGCCCTGACTGCCACCACACCCTTGACCTCAAATTGAGACTAACTAACCTCAGGGTGCCCCAGAACACCTCTGTGATCAGCGGGAGCCAGTCTCTAGTTGAGGTCACATTTCTGGGCTTTGTTGGCAGTACTGGGGTGTGAATGCAGGGCCTCACGATTGCCAGGCAGGCACTCTACCACTTGAGCCGCTCCACTAGCCTGAGAGAGAGAGAAGTAAAGAAGATACTGTAATTATAAAACAAAGAAGGCCAGACGCTGGTGGCTCACACCTGTAATTCTAGCTAATCAGGAGGCAGAGGTCAGGAGGATCGTGGTTCAAAGCCAGCCCAGGCAAATAGTTCTGGAGACCCTATCTTGAAAAACACATCACAAAAAAGGGCTGGTGGAGTGGCTCAAGGTGTAGGACCTAAGTTCAAATCCCAGCACCACGAAAGAAAAGAAAGAAAATGCTTCACCAGTCAGAACACAAACAACAAATGCTGGCGAAGGTGCAATGAAACAGGAACTCATACACTGTTGGTGGGAATGTAAATTATTACAAACACTATGGAGGTTCCTCAACTCTAAAAACAGAACTACCACACAATCCAGTGACATGACTCCTGGACATATACCCGAGGGAATGTAAGTCAGGATACAATAAGCACTTGTACATCCATGCCTACTGCAGCACTGTTCATAATAGCTAAGCTATGGAAATAGCCCATTAATGCATTAAGAAAATGCATTAAGAAAATGTAAGCCAGGTGCCAGTGGCTCACGCCTGTAATCCTAGCTACTCAAGAGGCAGATTATCAGGAGAATAGCAGTTTGAAGCCAGACCAGGAAAATAAGTTTGCAAGGGCTGGTGGAGTGGCTCAAGGTGTAGGACCTGAATTCAAGCCCTGGTACCACACACAAAAAAAAGTGGCATCTATACACAATGCCACTACTCATCCATAAATAATGAAATTAAGTCGTTTGAAGGTAAATGCATAAAACTGGAGGACAT